TTGTAACTCTCTATCTTCTGACTGGTAGAACATAACATCATATCAATTCTCTTGTACTCGGTTTTGTTGGGTTTCTTGCGAAGGAGCTTAACCAAACCAGCTGAGATGTAAGAGCTCCCAGCCCCCGTATCCAGCAACGCTCTACATTTTACACCATCGACTATTACAACTACCACCGGATAGATGACTCTGCCATGTTGGCAGTTGCGAGCATCATTTGTTGTTGTTGTACTTGATCACATATTGATGTGTGGTGTTTAGCCTTGCACTTCAGACAGGTAGCTAAACTTCGACATTCTGAAGCCCGGTGCTTCAGACCTGTACAGTTGAAGCAACGTTTTTTTGCTGCTAGTTCTTTCTTCCTAGAAGCCACATCTACTATCTTATCACAAACTACAGATTTATGTTGGTCTGAATTGCAGTATACACAGGGCTTTGGCTTCCATTGTTGTTGGTTGACTTGGAAGAATCTACCAGATTTAACTTTTGAGCCCCCAGTGTCACTTCCTCCATGATCAGGCTTCTCTTCGATTACGATTGGATTTCTTTCACACCATTTCCTCAGGGCCTCTACCAGTTGAGTGAAACCCCAATCCTGCCACTCATCATCCAATCTTACTAAGTCGGCTCGAATCCCAGGGAGTTTGTCAAGGGTTGGTCTGACAAACCCATGAACTTGACTGAGTTTACCCATAGTTTCAAGGGCTTGGGTGTTGGTGACTAACGACCAGTGTTGTAACGAGTCGAGTCATTGACTCTGACTCGAGTCAACTCGAGTCGCTATTTTCAGCGACTACTCGAGTCAACTCGAGTCTCTATTTTCAGCGACTCGACTCGAGTCCAATACGAAAAATGACTCGACTCGACTCGAGTCAACAGCCCCAAATGACTCGACTCGGACTCGACTTGCTGATTTTGCCGTAAATGACTCGAGTCAACTCATCTACAACTTGTACAGAGTAAATTCATCACAATTATTGTGATTGTATTGCTTGGGAAGAACAATGAGCCCTGTAAACAATGTGAACTTTGAAACTTTATCAGAAAATATATGGGATTTGCATAGAATATATTCCTGACGGGCATACCTATATTACATTTCTGTTTTTAGAAACAACGCTAGTGCCACAGTTTTTTAAAATTAAGTCTCAAAATATTTTGTACTTATACTAATTCTGACAGGCTATTTTCATTTTTGGTATTTATGAAGGGCTATATAATTTCAAATCAACTTACAAAGCGTTGTTAATTAAAGTCTATTCTTTGTTAATTCTGACTCCAGTTGCAAGTTTTGCTAGTTGTATGTACGTACACTCGATCAGCAGGTATGATGAGACATCTCACGTGGTTGACTGGAACTGTGATATTGGCACAGCCTATAGCTGCCCAGATACTGTTATTAATTTAAATGACTAAAGTAGGCCTAATTAGTTTAAAACGCAAATTTGATTACTAATTTCCGACAGCAAGCTAGGGTAGCTCAAGTAAAGTCTAGAAATTGACTCGACTCGACTTAAATCAGTGACTCGACTTGACTCGAGTGAAGCCGCTGACTCAATCAGTGACTCGACTTGACTCGAGTGAAGCCGCTGACTCGACTCGACTCGACTCGAGTGAAGCCACTGACTCGACTCGACTCGATCAAAAACTGACTCGACTGACTCGTGACTCGACTCGACTCGTGACTCGACCTGTAGGTGACTCGTTACAACACTGCTAACGACTCAAAAAACTCATGTATCTTCTTGGGTTGTGTCCCTTTAACGACAGGCAATGATACAATACTTTGCATGTGGGCATTAGCCACCTCACTTGTTTTCCCATACTTTGTTTTGAGGATGGTCTTAGCTCGTTCGTACCCCTCTATGGTGAAGGGAAGTCCATCAATGTATGTACGTGCTTTTGGAACAAGGAGTTCTTTCAGATATGATAGTTTTGCAATTTGGCTTATCTCAGCCTTGTCTATCTCAGTCTCAAACTGGCCCCAGAATCTTTGCCAGTCTAGGTGTGTGCCTTGGAATTTAGTAATTACTAGTTTAGGAAGTTTAGCATTGTTACCTTTTGTAGCAGATTTCATGCGTGCTTCCTCCATCTTTTTCTCATACTCTTGCTTCATTTCTAATTTGGTTTCTTCAAATTTAAGCTCTTCTTCGAAATGTAACCTTCGTTTTTCCTTTTCGATTTCCTCTTCCTCGTTTTTGACTTTAGTATGTTCTCTCGTAATAGTCTCTTTTATCTCGTCGACTACCTCTTCGAAACCTGAAACTTTGCTCTCGATATCAAGACTCCATTCTCTCACTTCCTCTGCTGTATCTCCCTTCTCAATTCTGATTTGTTGAACTTCGATTTTAAGCTTATGAGTCTGTTCGATTAATTCTTCGAAAACCCTTGTATGACGTTCCATTGCTTTTACCTTATGATCTTCCAGTACTCTTGGTGTATCTTCTTGTGTAAATTTTAGCATACGAAGTTTCCCATCGATTTGTTTTAGTAGCTCTTCTACTTTGTTGGTAGTTGACATTTTCAAGATGGCGGCGATATCTCACGAATTTTCGATGTTTTTAATTTTTATTGATTGCTCACGCTGTTATTTCTCGCTCTCTCGTTGTGATTTTCGGCTAAAATCCTGCTTGGGGTCGCCACTTTGTCGGAAACGTATATTTTTACTCGACAAAACTGTTTATTTTAAACTTAAATTCATTGAAACTCTCACATTTGATTTACAAAATCTCTCACTGTTTTGTTTTTCTCTCATACCTGAGCCCCCGATCCTAGCGCCCGCGGGCTCTTCTGTTCGCAATACTTTATATAAGTCTTAATAACTATATGTAATGTCAATAATGTCTAAAATTATCTACAAGGAGAACTTGCAGAAATGTGATAATTGTGGAAGATGTTTTCTACACTCATTTATGTTGTACAATAGCCTTGTTGAGTCATTGACCACTTGACTGGTAATCACCACGGTGTCATATTACTCAAATAAACATATATCAATATTAAAGTTAACATTCATCTATAAAACATGACCTTTATATCCTATATATGTATACTGCATTAATGCATTTTTATAGGTTATCCTCAATATTAATAGCCTTCTGAGTTCTGACGGTCCTTCAACCGCAGAATTAGAAATATGCAAATTTGTTTTGTAAATCAAAATTTATAGCTAAATCAAGATACGCGTATTTACATAATTATGCATCATTGGCGCGCATGCGAAATAAAATTTACATATCACATTAAATTTACCTTATTGCACTTCAGAATAAAGATCTCGGCGCTAATACTTCTACTCAAACAGTCAAACTGTAGTTTGTGCTACTCATGGCACCTAGGAACTGCTCACTGAGTCGAACTCTCCGATATTTAGCGTCGATTTTCCTCCCAAGTTCAGCGCAACAGTCTTGTAACTAGACAGTTAAATCATTCACAGCAAATGCAGATTGAACCGTTTCGTGAATACTACAATGACTAGAGGAGCAGACATTTCCAAACTTTCCGTAGATATCTTTAAATTGAATCTTTCGAGAAAGCTACAAAATTACACTTCGAATGAGCGCGTCAGCGCGCGCTCGGAACAACTTTACGGTCTTTACCACGCGTCAAATATTAATGATATTCCGACTAATGGGGCGCTCCTGACTTTTGTAAATCGGTCAGAACTCCCCACAGATCAGTCAAAATCGCAAAAAATCGCTTGTTTCTATGGGAATGAGTGTCTATATCAATCAGAACACTGGATTTTGACTTTTTGACTGACCAACTTTACATATGTCAGCTGCTCATTGACTTGACTAAGCTCGCGCCTCATGCAGCCACTGTATGAAATTTGATCACTGGACTACAGTTCGATTGGAATGTTAATTGTTAGCGCTGCATGATAATAGATACTGGACTGTTATAAGGTGTCGCTGCATGATAAAAAAGAACTGGACTATTGGTCAAATATTTAAGACTTTAATTAATGAAGTTTGCAGTTTTTTACGTTAGTCGTGTGACTGGTTTGACGACCCCTAGATCCGCCCCTGTACCAATTTTATCAATTTTAGTGGTTTAATAATTAAGCGATTTAAAGAGTAAAGATTAAGAGAACCTACTGGTCCTACTGTATATAGTTCATACACATTGGGGACAGGGTTTTTTTAGTAATTTGTTCATTTATGTTACATTGAACAGGATGGCACCTTCATGGGTGGGTACACCAGTCCCGTTCACACCTTTGCTGATTGGTTACTGGGTCTGGTATCTGGGTTTTTCAAGATGCTTCTCTTTGGAATTTCTTTCATTTCGTATTTTTTTAAAATTGTTAAGTGAAAATGCCTGCAAATTTATTGAATCTATATAATGCCATGTTCCAAGAAGTTATCAAATAAAGAAGTCCCTGTTGTCGAACTGTAGCTAGGAAAATATCATATGACATTTTGCTATCATGACAATCATCACATAATCATGTCGATGCAGAAAAGTCATCCCGTGTACATCCCATGCTGGCAACGCCGCCAACGCGGGATCATAGATGACACAGATGACACAATGAATGATTGAATGGATCTATTGTTTGTGATATAATAAAACAACAGGTAATTTGAATTCTGAAGTCAAATGTTTTACTTTGTTTTTATACTTACAATCATAAATCACGTTACGTGCTGGTAATACTCCATCTTTCCCATACAGTCCTGAAAAACGTAAATAATTTAATTGAAGCTCATTTCAATGCAACAGCCAGAAACGACTGTTGTCAGTGTTGTGTCAAAAGGCGCAACCGGCGGGTACCGTGCGCCTGTTTAAATTCTCTTGTATTTGAATTAATAGAAATATTTTTCAATCACCAAAGAGTGTAGCAAAGAATCGCGCAATACGTACCTGGTATTTGGACATATAAAGATGTAAACGCAAAAAGATATATAGCGGCCAAACTCCACAAAAATACATCACAAACCACCACGTGTTTCTGCGACATTTTGTTTATAAGCCCCCAATCTTCCAGTTCCAGCGGAGCGATGAAATTTACATACTTTATGTAATACTTTATATAAGATTGCACTTTAACGTTGTTCTATAGAAGCCGGAAGACGACATTTTGATCTTTTATAATTTTAGGAATTTGTTTTGTTTTGTGTAAAAAGAAATGTGATTATAATATGATATTGAAATGTGGTAATCATGTGGAATATGGGGAATGATCAGGCACTTTTGTCAAATGAATATGAAATATAAATCTGTGCCATGAGTGGCATGATGTAATATTAAATATTTGGTACACAAATATCATGTGCATTTACTTCATGTGAGCCTCGTATTTGACATATAACTAACCAAAGAAAGAAGAAAATAAATATCCACAATGCAGATGCTTGGTCGACTGAAGAAAACAGTGTCGTCAGTTATCGGCAACCCAGTATGTAGAGATTATGAATTTACAATACAGACAGGAACTTGTGGGCCTGGAGGTTTATGGAAAATTTATGATGGACGCAAGAAGTCAACTGGACAGGTATGTCTTGTATGGATCTGCCACTGTGCCACACATACATAAATGTTGATTGCAGGGTTCGTACAAAGCTTGAATATCCTTGAATTTGTAAAGATGTATTTGAAAGTCCTAAAATTGTTTGACATTCAAAACGGACGTTTTGTTGAATTGATTTTGCATGTTCATATCACTCATATCTGATTTCTACCCCTTTTCTTCAGTACTTACTGTAGTCCTTGAATTTGCTGATACATGGCCTTGAATGTCCTTGCAAAGTCCTCCAGGGTGCATTCCATGTAGCCAAACGCGAAGATCTTCGGCGTGGAGTTGCGATGCCCTAGCTACGGCGCAGCGGCGTGCAAATGCTAATGTTGGCGTGCCGGCGTAGTCTTTTTTTCCCTCAACGGCGTACAAACTTAATATAATACAATCAGAAAATATCGTCGTTAAGTCTCTATTGTTTATCGGATAACTTAACAGTTTCATGATCTTTTTTGCCAACCAAATCAAGTATAATATGTTACATGCAGTGGTTTCATATTTGATAAAAACACTTCCTACTTAGTATTCCTTATATAAAGAATACTAATTGGTTTTTGAAGCCGTTCAATACACTCGCGACCCATGTTTTATTGTGTCTAAAGTAAAATTTTATTTTTGAAATTTCAATAAAAACTACCGAAACAACCGAAATATTTCAATATTTACAAGTATAAGCTATCACTCCGTGTTTACACGGCCACCATTTTTATTTTTTCAGCATAATCAGTAATGTGATACCTTACTTCCCATCGTCCCCTGCACGCATAAACTAAAAGCTGGAACTGCCTATTTACGGAAGTTCTCACAAATTAAGTCGTCAAATATAATTTGAAAATGTCTCCATCACGCGGTTAACTATTCCATTCTTGATAGAATACACCCTTCCGGAAAGTATGTCACTTTGACTATTGAGCCTCGTTTTCGTGTACATCTAACATTAGTCAAAGCCTGATGCTCAGTCATGGAAACGAGGCCCTATAGCCAAGGTGACATACTTTCTGGAAGCGTGTATTGACTCCTTCAAATACTTAAGGAATTACAATCCAACAAAATTTAACCTGGTCAGAGCATATTGACAACATCAGCAAGAAGTTTAATAATCAACACCTTGGTTTTATTCGCCGCATAAAATTCTTACTCCCTATACAAGCCAGACTCACCCTCTACCTCACCCTCTACCTCGCCCTCTACAACAACCTTGTCCTCCCTCTATAGTGATATCGTGTGGGCAGGGCCTTTTTTAAGGATTTTCCCGTGGTGGGGATTTTTTGAAAAGGGACCTTTCTGTGAGATAATATATTAGAGGGGGATAGCAATGGCCGAAAGCCACGTGTGTGGCCAATATACCACGCATGAATGGGGGGGTCTGGAGTACTCCCCCCGAAATTTTTTGAAATTTGAATCCCGGAAATGTCATTTCCTGCATTCTGAGCATCCAAATTTGCTCCAAAATTTATGCTAACTATACTTGTATTTGAAATAAATAAAGGAAAAAACGCACACAAAAAGTAAAAAAAATAACCATAATTTATCATTACTTATTAGAGGAGGATAACAATGGTCAGGTGTGTGGGGGTGTACTCCCCCAGAAAATTTTTGAAATTTGAAGCATGGAAATGCCATTTCCTGCATTTTGAGCATCCAAATTTGCTCTAAAATTTATGCTAACTATACTTGTATTTGAAATAAAAGATGGAAAAAATGCACAAAAAGTAAAAAAGAATATTAACTGTAATTTATCATTACTTATTAGAGGGATAATCCCCAGAAAAATTTTGAAATTTGAAACCCGGAAATGCTATTTCCTGCATTCTGAGCATCCAAAAAATAAAAAAAATTATTAACAATAATTTAGAAAAAAGTAACAATTTAAATCGATTTTGTTAAACTTTTAGGACAAGGGATGAAGCCTAAAACTTACTTTCCGTTTATGTATTTGTTAATCTTCGCTGGTTTGTTTGTATAATTTTAGGGAAAAGGGACTTTTCCTGGGGGGGGGGCAAAATGTGATTTTGTGGGGGGCACAAGGGGGGACTGGGGGGCATTTTCCCCCCAGCTTGTATGTTAAAAAAGGCCCTGCGTGTGGGGAGACAAAAACAACTCCACTCTAATGAACCACCTTCAAGTTCTACAAGATAACGCTGCAAGACTTATCCTTGACCTTTCTTGCAATTCCTCTGCTACCAAAGAAACTCTAGAGTGCATGGAAACCCCTTTACCTACGTTGAAAACACCACCATTGTATCTCTGTCTTTAAATGTCTTAACCATCTAGTCAACTTTGATTTTAACCTTACCATGATCTCCCAAAACATAGCCATAAAACACGCCAGAATAACAACTACTATAACTTCCATGCACGCCCATGTACGAATTGGGGAATACAGCAATTCATTTATCACTCGCTGTCGGGATGAAACTCATTACCTATTGAACTAAACAATCTACCAATCTTAATCTCTTTAAAACTAAACTAAAACAATTTATAATCTAACTAAGTTGAACTTTTTTCCAACTATGAAGTATAATTATATATACCTGTAATCAATTTGTAAATATTTTATAGTTTTTAAATATAAGCATAGTATAGTTTACCATGTATATTAATAGATGTTTGGTATTTTTGCACAAGTGAATATAACAAATCATACAAGTTGCTTGGTCAAATTTGATGTATAAAGCTGTTAAATTCACCTACAGGTGAATAGTAACAAAACCGAATTAGTTCTAAACAAATAAGCGAAATTAAAATAAATTCAGTCCCAAAAAAAACCACAAAAGACTTGCATAAAATACTAAAACATGGAATTATTCGCCGAAGGCGAGGTGATTATTGGGGAATATTCACCTCGACCTCATCTCGGTGAATATTTAACAATTATTCGCCGAAGGCGCGAAGTGATTACCGGTGAATATTCACCGTAATCATGCACTGAGCCTGAGGCGAATAATTGTTTTAGTATACATTTTTAATGAATAAAACAAAATATCCAATTAAAATTCAGAAATATAAAAACTGTTTTCTGCCTGTTCACGGTTACTAGCTGTCACTATAGTAGTGTTGCAGTGTTTCTTGTACGCACACCGCTTTCGAAATGGCTTCTTGTGTGACTTTATTGCTTTATTACAATGTTGTTTTTCTCGATTTCTGCTTAGCCTTAGAATATAAACACAATAACGGAATGACTTTTTCACCAGACTTAGAATTAGAAAAATAGGGTTTTTTTAGCATTAATTTTTTCAGGAAATGGCTGAGAAATTTATTAAAATGAAATGTAAAACTATATATCGTTCGAAATAAAGTTTTTATTAATAACACTTTACAATTAGTTTCGAAAACACAATACAGCGGTCAGAACACCATACAGCACAATCGTACAAATTGAGAGATCTATAGGATACAAAACAAAATGGATTTAAAAGAATATCACGGCAAGGTTTTTCCCAACAGTCGGGATAGTTTTTGCTATTTGTTTGAAGTGAATGTTTTGGAGTTTTTAATAAATTAAATAAGTTTTAAATTGTCCGTGAATATGTTTTACACAGTGTCGCAGTAAAATAGTTAAGGAATAAATTAAATAAAGGAATCCTACCTATCAAGTTAAATGCAACATTTTGTCCTTCTTTCGTTTTCTGGGATGATTTTTTCAATATTTTTTCGATTTTGAAACCAAATTTGCCAAATCATTCTTTTTGAAAAGCAATATTTACTAGTCTGCTGATAAATAATGCGTCAGATTTACTGGTCAACTAGCCAATCAGAACGCGCGAAAGCTCATTTGATATGCAAAATTTATATTAATTCCCGATAATCACCTCGGCCTTCGGCGAATAATTGTTAAATATTACAGGACCTCCCTGAAAAACACTTCGGTGAGTGGAGCTTCCTGAATAAATATTATTTTTATTATTCGATTTGGCCAACCTATCAATCCAAACTACCAAAAAATATTTCAGTCAACTTCACTATTCGCTACATAAACAATTCGCTACTAACTGGTAAAAGCCTTCAAAAATGGGGATTCTCCTCGTCCTCTGAATGGGCTATTCCAATTATTATCCGTACCCCCCCCCTCCCTGTTGAGGAACCCCTTTCTCATGTCGGTACTCCCCTGGAATTTCCGCAAATTTTCATGTAAAATTTACCCCTTCCCATGGAATTTCCTTGTAAAAATTACCCTTACCCATGGAATTTCCATTTTAAATTAGGCCTTCCCCATGGAATTTCCATTTAAAATTTGGCCCTGTCCATGGAATTTCCATGTATAAATTACCTTTCCCTATCGAATTTCCATCATGGGACATTTACTCCTGAAAATTTCCCTCTAACATATGTCCTCCCATGGAATTTCCATCCCATGAAATTTACCCCTCCCTCTGGAAATTCCATGTGAGAATTATTCCTCCCCTTGGAATTCCAGATCCTGAATGCCCCCTTCCCTGGAAGTTCCAGGGTTAATCCACCCCCTCCCCTGGAAATTCCAAGGTTAATGTACCCCCTCCCCTGGAAATTTAAAGTTAATGCACCTCTCCCCTGGAAATTCCAAGGTTAATGCACCCTCTCCCCTGGAAATTCCAAGGTTAATGCACCCCCTCCCCTGGAAATTCCTCAACAGGGGGGGGGGGGTGCGGTAATAATTGGAATAGCCCAATGCTCATTTTGCCTTAAACCTGAATCTTTGTCACACGTTGTTGCTGGCTGCAGTTCCTATTTTGATCGATTTACTTGGAGACACAACTCAATCCTAAATTTTATTGCTAATAACCTCCCATCAGAACATATTTAGACCATTTATTACAATATTTCATTATTTGCTTTCCTCTAGGAAGTTGCTGTGTTTGTGTTTGAAAAGAAAGTTCTCGAAAAAATGGAGAAGAAATCAGCCGAACTTATCTTAGAAGCAATGAAAGCTGGACCAACACACCTTGCAAGGTTACGTCACCCCAGATTACTGGTCGTACAACATCCACTGGAGGAATCACGGTATGTACAATTTTGAAGTAACCTAAGATGTTAATTTATATTTCTTTCAAATTGTTTTAATTAAGAATAGTCTTTGGTAGATTGGAAGCAGAGATATACTCTGCATGTGATATCCTGTGTTAAAGCTGTTGGTACTTGCATGGGCGGGCTCTTTAGGGCTTCACATCAACCAGTCAATGGCTAAATTTGATTGCCTGGTCAAGAGTAAAGATAATTGTTCATCATCATTGTTGAGCCCCCATTCTCAATCTTCATGTATGGTCGGTGTCCGAAGCAAGGGGAGGGGGAAGATCTTATATTGTGCGATATATCCCACTTGACTTACGATCAAAGCGATTTCTACTATACTACCATTTATATACTGTAGTAATTATTCATATTTTAGAGACAGCCTGGCTTTTGCTACAGAACCAGTATTTTCATGTTTGTCAAATATCCTTGGTGATCATGAGAATTTTACACCTGCTGTCCCTAAAGAAATAAAGGTAACTTCATTTATTCCAGAATGAGCGACATGTAATTTATTGTTTAATATTGCCATAATTAAACTCGGGAAGAACCGGAATTTTTTGCTTGCTCTGTGTGAGTTTCCATATTCATTCGTAGTTAGCCAACCAAATTTGACTTTTTGAACTTTGTCCATCCAATGGTTAAAGATAAATGTAGTAACTCAGTGATCTTGTTGTGGAATAACCTGAGTGTAGTTTATATTCACAATGGCATTCACTTTGTTGTTTTCATACATGATCAAAGATGTACTGTAGAAAAAAGTACAAAGTGTCTTTATGTTTCAGGAGTACGAGTTGTATGATGTTGAGAAAGTCTATGGATTATATCAGGTAATTACAGTATTATACAGGGTTTTTTCAGGGATTTTTTAGGGCCGTTAAACGGCCCCAAAAACTCAATCTTGAATTGAGTTTTGAAACTCAATCTTCACACCAAAGTTTCAGTGCAGTAAAAATGAAGTTGTCTGAGTTAAATTCGTGACGTGTGGAAATTAGTTTTCAGTTGGAAACCCGACAATTAAGAAAAAATGGCTGGAATTCATCTCACAACACAAGAAAAACTATGCATTCGCCATCTTTAACCAGTTTATAGTGTCCCTTAGTGCCCAGGGCTGCTTTAACACATTCCGTCTCAACTACATTTATTGAGTACAGGTGTCAACCCCTTGGTAGGGGGGTGCAACCACCCCAGCTGTTCAGCTAAACTCAATCTTCTCTGCAAAAACGGACCCAAGAGAAAATCTTGAAAAAAAAACTGTTATACTGTCTGTCACTTCCTTTATATTGAATCTTCGGCAGGCAATGGTTATTCGAGGACATTACTTAATTTGCATCGTAATTTCTCTATTGTCTTATTATACCAAACGTCTTTGTATTTCAAAACATAATGTTCATACAGGCACATGCATTGTATGATGTGTACCTGACATGTGCTCTTAAGAGAAGAGTGAGCTCATGATTTAGCTCATTTATACATGCCAGTTTTTGTAAACACCATGCAGTAACCTGACGACTTTCGTTGTTAGTGCCGCTGTTTTGTGTTATTCTTGTTGTAAATAGTGCATGTATAGGTGGGAAGTTGGTGAATTTCCATGTTATGTATGCAGGATTTGTGTAATGCTGACACTGAACATGTTTAAAAGTCATAGTCGCTTTTAAATTTAATATGTAATTTCTAATTACCATAAGACTCATTGATATTTCTAGTGACTCATGACTGCACTTGATAAACATGTATTTTCCATTTACTAAACGTGCTGAATTTTTTATACGTTTTAGATTGTTGAAGGTCTAATATTTCTCCACAATGACGCTAAACGACTGCATGGCAACTTAACAGCACAGTCTGTTGTTATAACAAAAAATGGTCAATGGAAAATTGCAGGATTGCACTTTAGTAAAGTCGCCACATCCGCGGATGCAGAGGTATAGTTTCCAGACGTTACATTCTTGCTCTCATACGTTGTTTTACATACAAATGGTGCAGATCTTCATATGATAATTTTTTGTAATCAATGAAAATCAACCAGCTCCTATAGTAACCTGAATTATACATGTGTTCAATTAGATACTGTATACTATCGTTTCTTTCTAAATCCAAAACTTGGAGTGTCATTGTTATAATTTAAAGTTCTGCAAGTGCATTAGCAAATTCAGTTCAACTTGCGTGTTGTTGTAACTGACTGATGTATATGCCTGAGCGAACAATTTGAAATTGCGTGTTTGAAAAACGTGTGTGGCTGAATTTTTAGAGCTCAAGTGCGAGCGAGTTGGAACAACTGAACCAAGAGCGAGTTAAAAGAACAGCTCACAAGCACTGTATAATATGCGTTTTTGAAAGATCCGGACAGAATGTATAAAGAAGACAAGTACTGTAGACAACGCAGAAAATAGATATATAGTATATTTAATAACCATACATTCACACAACGTACTGTAACAAGTGTAAGGTACAGTAAACACACTAGCGACGAAAATCATCCTGATCGCGAGACTGTTAACGCTTGCGAGTTGCAAATTTTGATGCAATGTGAGCACACAACGCTTAGCAGTCAGGTAAATCCATAGAAATAATTAATAGATATAGAATGCATACTTGATCACGAATCATGTTTCCACTTTTTCTCATGCGTGCCCTTTCAAATCAAAATATATATAAACAAAGCTAAAACTAAGTTTTCATCGTTGAAAGTTTTGTCTTGCTGTCTAATTTGCAGTTTGAGGATGGATTTTGAAATATTAAGTTCTTTGAAGGCACAAAGGCAAATGTATAAGTGCTTGAGTTGTGCATTTACAAAAACGGTGAAAATCTTGCAGCCTTGTAAAACAAAGTAATTTGCAAAATGATAGTTCATTCTTCGTCGGGTTTTTCAAGTTTTTTCAAGTTTGCAAAAAAACAAGTATTTAGTTGTCGATGAACAGGAGTGGAAAAAATAGGCGAGCACGCGAGCACTACTCGCAGGAAATGTTAAACAGCTGCAGGAAATTCCTTTGAATGAAGATTTGCTATTGAAAATTTGAAGGAAACCTTAACATGCACCCATGACCTACCATGGGCGCAACAACATATGGTTGACAGACATTATTCCTTGAATTTAAAACTATGGTCATGCAGCTAGAACACTATATGTTTATGCACATGCAGAAAAATACTCCGTTGGCCTGCAGGAATTTTTTCTCCAGGTTGTGCTCCCATGCAGGAAGAAAATTATTTTCTGTTGGTTGGGATAGGAATATGGTGCGGCGGTGGTTGGCGCGCGGCCATGCGAATAAACTGTATGTGGTAAATTCATAGCCAGTACCACTTGCTCGACCAACATATTTGCCTCAGAAAATGGTGTTGACGACGACTCCCCAGCGGATGCCAATCATAAGGAGTATAGGAAATGCTGGAAGCTTCTTTTTATCAATTGTGATGTCCACGTCCATAATTTTACAGCTTTTTAAATATTTGTGTACACTATCCGGTTGATAGCACTATCCGACCTTCGTACAACCCCTGTTCGTTAACGTCCTTTATTATATTCTTACATTTGCAGATCTAATGTATTCTGTAACTTTAGTTTCAGGTATCATTTAACTGTCAAGGATGGGAATCTCAATTGAATCCGTTATGTCAACCAGAATTAAATTATACAGCTCCTGAACATATCTTATCACGAACATGTACAACGTCTGCTGATCTCTTCTCGTTGGGAATGTTAATTTACGCCGTGTATAACGGTGGTAAACCATTATGTGATTGTCAAGGTGATATCGTTACTTATAAAAGACATGTTGAAAAGGTATAACTCTAGTGTATTAGAAATATTTGATTACATGCACGAAAACCCATTGCATATATGCGCCAAAAGGTAGGAGCTATTTTGTAATAAAGTCAGTTTTGATGCTGTAACCTTAAGGTTTGATGTGCTAACACAACTGTAACTATACATCTAGAACTAATTACAATGGTAATTTTATAATATTTTAGATCACTCGAAATCCTCCAGCACTTGGTGATGTTCCTACTGAATTTCAAGATCAAGTAAAATGTTTACTTTCAGTTTCACCAGACGTAAGACCTGATGCTCATCAAATATCCAAGGTTTGTATAGTTCTAGTATATCTTTTATTTATTTATTTGAAACTTTATTTAAAGACGGTAGCCCCATCAGCAAAAGCTGGTTTCAATTGGGGGTGTCCGGACTGTACTGTACAAAAAACATTGACAACAATACAAAACACATAGTTATACAATAACAAACAAATAAGTATTATATGTAATATAGCGTCATTAGTAAATATATATGGTCAGTATTGCATTATCTAGTGAATTCCATCCAGCAAATTGTCTTTCCAATTATACAGGGTGTACAAAAAAAGCGCAATCCTCGACTGAAATGTAAATTGCTAAACAAATAATAGACGAAAACGTTAAAGTTTACATTCATTTAAAGCGTAGCCATTCAGCTTTCTAACAGTGGGTTGTTTCTTAAATTTGACTCATTGGTTCGCGGGTAATAATACTTTACGTTATTGCGATTGGAGATTAAAAAAATTGAGATGGAATAACAAATCGTTCTCATGAAAATAACTGATTTTTTCATTAAAACAAAAAAATGTTGCATTTTATTAAATGGATTGTAACAATAAGCATAATTACGGCTTTTCTTCCACTATTTTTAACTCAGTTTGAAACTTCAAATGCGATATAATTTTGGCTTGGACCATCTAAGCTGACTGACATCAACTTGCTATAATTTCTGTTTACATTACATCGCAATTCGATGACACTCTGGCTCAGACACCAGAATGTTTTGACGATTTTTAGCATTCGTTTAGGATTTTCAAACAACCTGGTCTCTTTTAAAATACTTTTAATTTGGTTCTTACGTGGTTTTCCAGATGTAGTGACGACAACATTAAAGTTTAAAGAAGAAAATTCTAACATTTAAACTGACTAAACAATAACATAGTAAACTTGCATAATTAAACAGCAACTAAAAATGATAAGTTTTACTAAATCTTTTCCTGTGCAATTATTACTAGCATTGGAGACAAGGATAATAGTTTGTTTGAAAGAGAAAAGAACAGGCTTTGAAGTAAGCCTAAAAGCGTTTAACTAGAAATAGTATTTCGAAAGTTATAATAAAAGCACAAAAGATGAATTGCGTTTATTTTGATACACCCTGTACAATAGAGTGGTTGTGAAAGTGAACTTCGAAACAAATTTTTGCACAACTAGAATGATACATTTAGCATCAGTCAATCGACATGTAAACAGTTAACCTGAAGCACAATGTTTAAGTGCCATTTAATGATCACGAAAATGTGACGATTTTGCATGAGAGAGTTGCATACATTGTGCTAAATGTTTCAAACTTGATTTACCCCTCTATGGACGTAAGTACCGTAAACCTCCGACTATAAGATGGGCTTATATACTTTCGTAAGCGATTTTTGATGGGCTTATACAAGGGGGGGAGCTTATATACGGGGGGCTAATACAGTACATGGACGATCCTTTGTGTTAGTGATAAACAAGTAAGTCATAAACAGGAAAATAAACATGTGTTAATAACGCGCTTTGATTCACATAGTCGGCTATACAAGGACAATGACAATGTTTTTTAAATATCGTTCTCTGCTAATATTAAAAGACATTGTCAATGTTGAATAACGGAGTGGGCTACTGCAGGGCTTATATTCGGAAGACTTATATTTGGGGGGCTTATATTCGGGTGGGCTTATATTTGGGGGCTTATTTTTGGAATGAGGTGAGCGTTAGTATATGTGGTGGGCTTATATTCGAGGCTTATTTATTTTTTTTGGGGGGGGGCTATTATTATAGTCGGAGGTTTACGGTTTACACATGCAGGTACATGCAGTACGACTAATCGAGTATTCAATAATCGAAATAAAATTTGTTAAATTGGTTAGGTATAGTGCTGTTTAACAAACGTGACGGTTTTAGAACTACACGTATAGTGTACTACTGCAGCTGGTTGTTCAAAGCACGATTAGCACTAACCGTGGATTAAATGTAACCCATTGCTTTGGTTTATGTATATCTGTATGTCTGTTTATTTCAAAACTTTAGGGAAATTAAACATCCGATGATGCGAACAAGATTTCTGGTAAAAATATTTCCAAGGTTATTAAAAAGCTGCTGGGAAGTATGCTTTGAATGTCACGTTAACCCAGGGTTAAGCTAACCGGATTTTGAACAACCGGCCCAGTACATATATAAAGAATATGCGCTTTTCATTTATTTTGCTGTATATATAGGTGAGATATTTTGACAACGTCGCTGCACAAACTCTGCATTACTTGGATACGTTAATACAACGAGACAACATGACAAAATCTCAATTCTTCAAAAGTTTATACAAGATTATTTCAATGTTGCCCAAGGTACAGTAAGACTACCTGTACATAGTACTCATCTCGTCGACAGGTACATTTACTTACAGTATGCTGTTATTTTATGCATATATGTTGAACATACTGCAACAGGTTGTTAAAGAAAGTTGCATGAAACTATAGTTCTTTAGTTCCGAACCTATGGTAGCAGTCGATATGAGGACATGCATGCAAAAAGGTCGGGCATAACCTGGGTACGAGATTGTGTAATATTAAGTGTAGTTTGAATATCCATTGACTTGTTGAATTAAGGAAACAGGACTATAACAACTTGCGCCTTTCTTGAAGAATCATCATGGTAAATTAATATATATATATATTAATATATATATATATATATATATATATATATATATATATATATATATATATATATATATATATATATATATATATATATATATATATATATATATATATATATATATATATATATATATATATATATATATATATATATACGCAGTTCATGATCCGGTATGTGTATATTTCGTTCATTATAACCTCTATGTTCATTTTCTATTTCCAGCGTGTAGTTATTCAGCGAGTTCTACCACATCTTTGTCTTGAGTTCAGTAATCACACCATGATTCCATTTGTACTGCCCAATGTCTTGCTGATTGCTGAAAGTTGTACTAATGAAGAATATAATGAGCTGATATTTCCCCAACTTAAACCTGTTTTGAAGATACAAGATCCTATACAGGTACGTAAAAATACGCAGCGAAATGTTTTATGAGAACCACCTCAAGTGATCTTTAAAGTAAAGCTGCAACATTTAAGCTGTAGGCTTTGATATTCTGTCTTCTCTGGACTGCTCACAATGAAATGCGCTACGTATTTCGTATAAATTGTGCGTGTCCTGCTAGTTATGATGCTGTCTGCAAACCTTTTTCACTACTTTTCACATGGAGGTTCATCAGATGGAGATATATACTATTTTAAGACACTTGTGTCCGTATTAGATGTATATAATCTTTCGCCTTCTGCTCGTATTTGTGTACTAATCTGTGGTAATATCAATATTACCTTTATATAAATTTGGCAAATCTTTCGATGCGCAAGCCCGCGGATCTTCCTAGTATACCAATAATAATTTTCTGCACGCCGGATTTCTGCATTGAAATATGCTCAGCTCCGGGCTTACGTATCGACAGCTGTACCAAATATTCCTTCTGCATTCTTGAGAAACTTTAATATTCACCTCAAATCCAGGTTGTGTTAATACTGCTGAGAAAGATGGATTTACTGTTAACCAAAACTCCAAAAGAAGCAGTCCAATTTCATGTCCTGCCAATGGTATTTCAAGCTTTAGAAGCGCCATCTGATCAAGTTCAGGTGAGAATGATACTTAAAATACGAAAAATCGTCTTTAAGACCTCAACGACTTTGTTTTCACAACAAATTCGCACTTATAGGAGACAAATTGTTTGGTGACGATGGGAAAACGGAGAAACGTGCAACTGGGGCAATTGTTGTAAAACCGGTCAGCTTGATCCTACAGGTTAACATAAAACTTCAAAACAAACTTCCTAACAGCTTGTGTATATAAACTTGGAAATATTATTTCGGAAATCTTGTCTGGACCAATACAAGTTTTACTTTCTAAAGTTTGGAAATAAACGGACGTGCAAAAATACACCGACGTGCAAAAATACACCAACCAACACAGCGGGCTACATATTAGCCCTGCATGGGTTAGCGCAAATGTTGCTTCGAATAACTGGCCCCTGTAGGAAACATCGCATTTCCAAACGTTTCCCACAACGTTTTCTTGTATTTACCCACGGGCAGGTTCTATATAGTCGCAGGCTGTGCATAGTCATTCATTAACATATACAGATAAATATTGTACTGTACGTCATCTTCGAGTCCTGAATGGTACTCTTTCGAGTGGTAGTAATTGCGATATTATTCGTCTTTCCATAATGCACACAGATTGCAGGAAACTATTTCATATATTGTCCCAGGTAACTGTGATTATCGTATAATTTTCACTTTTATTTTTTGGGTTTTTTTTTTAGGAATTGGCCTTGACTATTACCCCTAGTTTTTCGAAAATGATCGAGTATTCTGCCATGAAACATTCCATTATCCCAAGAATCAAGACACTTTGTCTTAAAACACAGACATTTTCTGTAAGTTCTGTATTGGTTTTGGTTTTGCTTCCCAACAGCTGTGTTATAGGCACTTTATTGAAATTGCTGTAGTTGTTTATTATCAATGTGTTGATGTGTTATCATCGATCTAGGTACGTGTAAATTGCCTTGTGTGTCTGGGAAAGATCATGGAATTCTTGGATAAATTCATTATTATTGACGAAATATTCCCGCTTTTGCTTGATATCCCAACACGTGAGCCTGCAATCTGTATGGCTATTTTAGGTACGTCATCTTAGCCTGCGTAGCAGCTCTCAGGAATTAATTATATTTAATAAAATACTTAATGTTGAGGTAGAGGTAGAACCTCGACTATAAACAATTACAATTTAAATATACAGCGATTTCGTACCTTGTAATTTCGTACCTTATTTTGGGAATGGAATATCTCCCGTAAAGTCAGACAAGCTAGAGACATGTCTTTTGTTTTCTTGGCGACTTTAAAATCAGGAATGTATTTCACAAATTATTAAAATGTTGTGCTTCTTCATGATTTAGGTATTTATAAGCAAACTACGATATATAAGAAACTGAGTCTTGACAAGGATTATATTGCCAAGTCAGCTCTTCCGTTTTTATTACCTCTGGCTGTGGAGCCAGGCCTCAATATTACTCAGGTAAAGTAAATTTAAACTTAATTTAGTCATTCCTCAATCCTATAGTTATTTAAGGGTGCAGGACATGAAATATTGTATAGCCTTCTATACGAAAGTGCAGGGCATAAATACTGATATCAAGATTTTGGTAGATGGAAATTTCGAATAAATTTTTAGACGTTTAAATTATACATTTTAAGAAATAAAATGACTCTATAGCTTAAAGGACTCAGGTTGGGCCGTAGATTTGACTCCTGCCAGATGGCTTACAGTATAGTTGCATTTTTCGTAACTACTCCTGGTTCCGTCTAATATGATAGTACATTGAAAGACACTGGGTTGTGGGACAGTTTCAGCCAGTGAACGCTCAAAACTGTCAGTAACGTCTTAAAAGTGACGTCGTCGCGTAATGACCTATATACATGGAACACGTCATTCTATATTCTCCAATACGTACACCGTCCCTTCGTTCTCTGTATTAGGGAAATTCGATTCTATCACGTTTTTCTCGGAGTAGTTATCCCGGGAAAGCTCTGCTATGCCCATTTCGAGCCGCTGTCCGTGCACCATTGTATACATTTATTGAATATACTATAGTATTGCTACACTAAAAAGGCCCGTTTACACTAAATTCTTGCTGCGATTTTAGGTGCAATATTCTGCTTCTGATGCATGTGAACGAGTGGCTGAGTTATGAATGTTCAGAAGAGGGTACATCTTTGGTACATATACTCAGAACATTCACAACTCATCCACTTGTTCACATGCATCAGAAGAAGAAAATCGCAGCAAAAATTGCAAGTGTAAACGGGCCGTTATTATTAATGCTCTTATACATCATGTTTAACCTATGTTGATTCCAGTTTACCCAGTTTATGTCGGTGATACGTGAGATGGTGAGCCGTGTTGAAACAGAACAGAAAGCGAAACTACAGCAGCTGAAGCAGATGCAAGAAGAGACAAAGTATGCAAAAGATTCGAGTCCATTTTGAGACACTGTCGCCTTCGACTGCCAGTGTAAAAATATGTACAATTTTACAAGATTTTGCAGCTAAATCAATGCACTTCCCAGAGGAATGCATTGCATTTCACGTGCTTGTAATTTCTTTGTATGCATGTTCCGATCATGGGCATGCACCCTGCTAAATAAATGTCATTCATGAATTGCTCCATGCATGCATAAGTAGCATGCATTTCTCCTTCGCGCTGTGTTGCGTTAGCGACAAATAATCGCCGTCATTACTAACTTTCTATAGGTCATCATAAGTTCTGGTTTATTGAAAACACCACGTGTATTTATTGTTGCCAACTTTCGATCCGGATCTGCATCAGTGCTAATAATATACTTGTATGACTTCTAGATCGTCTCTTGCTTTTGCACAAGAAGTACACGACAGTAAACAAATGGATGACCTAATGGGAAAAGTTTCAAATTTATTCTCAGCAAATATTACGGCAAACTCTGGAACAAACGGTACAGTAAGACTGATTTTATGCTTGTAAATTGCGTCCGTACGTGTGCGTATCGCGTATGATCCGCTTGTCGCTAAGCAAGTTCGTGTTAGAACATTATCTTCTGAGCAATATTGTTAGCAAATATGGTTACTGGTAATCTACTAGTCTGTGTAAACGCTTGGTATAATTATTATACATGTATATACAGTGTGGTATAGGATGATCATGATAACTGCCAAACCTTAAGATTAAGCGAAATCTTATCTTTCACTGCAGTTTACTTTAGTCATACTAAAATGCACAAGGTTTTGTATACAACTTAACTGCAGTAGCTCTTGGAACATCCACATAACCGTGTTCGCATGGCTTTAATTTGTTGAAACAAAGTAAAATAATAACGGCTTATTGACCGAGCGTGAGGTCTGTACTGTGAAATATCAGACGGAGGTTTTTTAGTATGGACCGAGCGACGAAGGAGCGAGGTCCATGCAAAAAACAGAGGTCTGATATTCCACAGTACAGACCGAACGAGCGAGGTCAATAATCGGTTTATTATATGGCTGAACTGAGTCTGTGCACGAGCATATGCTTTTCGCGCTAATTAAATCGGCTATCGTCAGTTTCACTGGGTAACTATATACGGTAGGCATGCATGCTCAATCAAAAACAATTTGGTTGTTTGAAATATTTATCTGTAAATTTTAATGACACACAATTGGAGAATTAAAAAGCAAAAATTCTTTCTGTTTGCAAAACAAAAATTTCCCACCAGATAAACGACATCCGGGACACCGGTCCAGATACGGAAAATACGGACCACGGTCCGGATATGGGTTTTTACGGACCGCTTGTCAACCAATCAGAATAGAGAATTTTGAAAAGCCATATAATAATATACTGTAATTCTTCGCTTTAATGTTAACATTTCAAACCTTGGATACTATACCTAATCGCCTATTTACTCCAGTACACACAATAACAAGACAATGAATGGTAAGCGAATATGACAACAATAATATAGTATTACTGTTATGAGGGTAAGTGAGTGGGGGGGTGTTAATCATCCTGCTTGCAGCTGAGAGCTATATACGCTGAATTGCGAAGAGCTGACACAGCTCAACCTGATCGAGTTGAAGCCATTCTAAGAGCGCCTCTGGCAGCCACCTTGTGATTCATGTCACGGAGTACAGCTACTGTGGTAGGGTCAGTTTGGAGCTTCTCAACCTATACCTTGTCGGCATTTCCTGGGTACCCGCGGCGAAAGCGCACGACTTACGGTAGAGTGTTCACTGACTCTTCACATAAGTGTCATGCGTCCCTCAGACGATTGTGCCACCGAAAAATCTACAGTACGAATCTGAATACTTCCAGATTCGTACTGTGGATACTTTATCGAACTGAAGATAAGTAGTAAGTAGTAGCGTCTGTTTAATATTTCTGTTGTATTTCAGAGAAAGCAAATGCGGAAGAGAAAAATGTAGGAAATGGAAGTGCAGCGGTATGTAAAATGTGTAAAAAGTAAACTTTTCATTGTATCTATGTAAATGCTTTAGTACCATAGGAAATGTGATCTAAATTTATGCCTTGACATGTAAGATAGTCTTGTTTAAAGAGGCGTCTTTGTAATTAGTATGTTTCTGGCCGTTTCTAGTTTGAAACTTCGTCTACGCATAGGCCATTTGCAGAATTACTGGAGAGTACAGTAGCTTTATACACTTAATTCGTTCATTTGAAAGCAGACAGAAACTTCAAACATAACGTAAGACTGCATGAAAAAAATTCACAAGAAGTCCAAGAATGAATTCAAGGCTATGCGTGTATAATGCTACTCTCCAGTAATATACATATCGCAAGCAACCTATAATAAGACTATATAGTATACAATTAATGTCTGCTCCCTCGGGAAATAGTTTGTTTTGTTTTCCCGAGAGTCTCAATATTTCCCGAGACGAAGTCGAGGGAAACATTGTGATTCGAGGGAAAACAAAACTAAGTATTTCCCGAGGGAACAGACACTAAGCGTTTTGTTATATAGCGACGAACAAAACTCAACATTCAACAACATCCATACAACAATTGTTTTTCGTGACAAAAAGTCTATAGTGTAAACGAGTTTAAATTTAAAAGAACCTACTTAAACGGTTTCAGCAGCATATCCTGTTGCCTGTTGTGTATTTTTCTTCTCTTTTACATTCTTTATTTGAACACAAACTTGGAAAATCGTAGTTTCTAATTATGCTAGTTGTGCCGCCATTTTGTTTATTTATGTACGTAGCCGGTCGGGGCGGGCAACAATTTTTCACTTGTTACCCGGCGGGATACATTGCATTTATCTGAAGTCACGTGACCACAAATCAGCCAATCACGTTTGGTGTTCACCCTAGCTATATAACAAAACTTTTTGGTTGGTTTGGATACTGTACTAGCTTACATTGTTTATTCTGGGTATATAGGTAAAGTTTACAATAATATTCACATTTTCTAGTTTAACAAATTCTTTGGCTTTGCTGATGGTTCACAACAATCTCAGAACGCGCAAGAACTTCACGTTAATCTTAATAAAACGGCTCCACAAAAGCCTCAGACACAATCAACTCTATTTGACTCGAGCATACAGACAACGTCGACATCCATGACAAGAAATAATGTCTTAAAGCCAACTGTTGGTTCAAACTCTCAACCTAGCACAACTACAAACACACTCCATTCCACGATGAACCAAAATCTTAACATGGTTGGTGCTCCCGCTCAAACACGCAATCAAACTGGACTTGGTGGATCTTCAGCTGGTCAGGCATCACATAACTTTATTACGTCATCTCTTACAACTCCTTACAACATTAAACCTGAACAAGCAAGGCCTACTCACATGACTTCATCAAGTTTTAACTACCAGGCTAACATTCCTTCCATGGGGAGTGGAACAATGCCTGGTACATTGAATGGAGGTAGGATTTAATGCGTAAGTAGTATGTAACCGTGGAGTGGGGATGCTAATTATCACAACCATCCTCAGAGATATGAAAAACTCTTGACACTGCAAACTACAACGAAAAATTCATTGTCTCGAGTGGGATTCGAAGTCGCATCTTCAGGTTTCTAGACTACCGCTCTACCCATTGAGCTATCGAATCAACGGGGATTGGTAGCGAGTCCAATTTAAGTTCATTAAATATTTTCACGACGACATAAGTCTTGGACGACGCTTGTCTTTCGAATAGAATTGGAACACTTAAAATTTAGCCCACTGTTTTTGTTTATGTATTTCTGCATGTCGATTCATTTCAAAACTTCAGTAAATAGAACTGCTATATTGATCCCGAAAAGATTTTGGAAAAATATGTTCAAGTTAATAACAACTGTTCCAAAGTTTGCTTTATTAAAGTTTTTCATTAACCTGGAGTTGAGCAGCCGGCTTTCGAACAACGCGCGGCCCGTAGTGAATGGTGATGCTACAGTAGTAATGCACAAAAGTGTCATTTGAAAACTATAAAGGTCTGATCCGTTTGGTACGGAAAAGGGAAATCTATTTATCCAATACTGTATACACCTAACGCATGATAACAAGCTAAAGTTGGATTACTTTTTTATACACATTATACAATACATTGTGAATATAGAGTCATTCTGCAATTCATGTTGTAATCCATCTATATTTTCTACTCTTTACAGGAATGTACTCTGGAAATACTGGTATTTTTCCCAACACACCATCGTGGAGACCAGCTATTCCCCCAGCAACAAATACATCATCGTCTCTGAGTTCCTTGGAGATCCCAGGATTTCAAAGCAGCCAATCACAAACAAGAACACTAAACCAGATGCAATCAATGCAGGGATCAGCTGCACCATCTAATTTAGGTATGAATAACGTACCTTACTTGCGTTTAAAACAGACGAGTTTTGACATTCACACATATCTTCTGCGTATGAGCGAACTGAGAGTAAAATAGTCCGTACGAGTTATAAGGTTCTGAAACAGGGTGCGATAATTCGCGTACTTACAATACGTACCCGAGGTACGGCCAATACTACAGTCTGGTACTTCTTGTTTTGTATAGCCAAGTAACACGTAGGTATACGCGGGACTCTCACTATTTGAGAACTTAAATTTTGTTGGAAAACTGCATACTGTAACCTTTCCAAGTCCGAGGTATTCAAAACCGTGATTAATTAGGTACACATGTATGTGTAAAGTCCGACATGTCTTGGCATTGACTGATGGGATGAGATGGGACTAAGGAATGTTCGAGTGAATTGTAGTGTTGGTATATGCAACTGTGTTCCTTCTTGTTCTAATTGAAGTAAATGAATACTTTTTAGACTGTGCTTTATGTACTTTATCATTAAGTCTAAGTACACTTTGTAGCAGGTCAAGTGCGCGGCAGTAATGATGGAAGTACCGGTGAGGTACGGCTGAAAATCTTGAATTATCGCACCCTGTGTAAAAACTACAAATTGAATATGCCACTTACGCTCGAATGCCCACAGATAATAAAGACGAGCTTCATACGAAGTTGTAATATTTTTATAGCAAATTTTACCTCGACTTGGCGTTATTATTTTTGACAAAGTGCTCTATTACATAGTGGTCTCCTTCCGATAATACAAAACTGTCTTTCCTTGCATGTCAGTCATACTAGGTAACCATGTGGTTATGAATTATAGTTTAGTGTATTTAACAGTTTTGCTGTAGGATTTGATATTATTAAATACTATTCGACCATATTTTCTGACTAGGTTCGTATGGTGGTCAATCAAGTTTCATGCAACCAACATCAGGAATTCAGGCTCCACTTCTTGCAAGAAACCAAAGTTCTAACTTAACACCAACACTTCCTTTGTCCAATCAAAATTCAACACAGCAACAACGGCAACAGCAACAACAACAGCAACAAAATGCTGACTTGTTAGATATATTTGGATGATTATATATATCGTTATAGCACAAGAAAGGAACTTGATTTCAAAGTCCTGCAAATCATTGTTTCCCGAAAACTGGAACCTTTCTATCGATTCGCCGTGCTTGATTGTTTTGGATTTATCTAGTTTTGAACCGGACAAGTCTTGTTTTTGCGACATTTCCAAAAGAAGTTCCGAAAAAACAAACCTGCTTTGGCTCAACGCTCTTTAAATCCAAAGGCATCATAAATCTTTAATTCCTGTTGTTCATTTTAATCTAAATTCAAATTTGTGCACAACATCAATTGGATCATGTCGTCCTTCTTGACCACGTTACTTTATATTTTCCTGATAAAAGGGTAAATAATTATGTTCATTATTTCCATTAGTTCTTTTGTTATCAAACATACCATCATGCATCAAATGAATAGTTGAAAAAACATTGCATGTAGTCTTCGAAGTTATTCTAGAAAGAATTTAGAAATGAATGGATATAATAATGTGAACGAAAACAAAAAAAAAATCTAAGAAGGTATATTCAAGGACATGCATGAAAGGAAGGCACGTACCAATAAACATACATACTAACATACTGGCAATGTGTAATATGATTTAATAATACCGTGTAGGTCATGCTATTTAAACAGTAGAATGTTGCCGTAAATTATTTTGTACTATTTTAATGATATTTAATTAATTTAAACAAATAAATCAAGATGAGACTGAGTTCATTTATTGCTCTGGTCATTTCAATGTTTCCTCTTGACAGTATGACAGGATGTTGAGTATGAGCACATTTTACTCGCAAGGGTTTTGCGATGTATGTTAAAACCTGCTCTTACTAGCACAAGTTTGGTGTAGTTAATTAGTTAATACTTTATTTGGGTAGAGCCCTGCACCCAACCTCGTACCCAGGCTCTTACCTTCGCACGCCCCGGAATCACAGGGCCGCAAAAGGGCCGCAGGTTCGATTCCTCGTTTACCACCTGGCTGTCGCCTCATTGGAACATTCCATCATTCACCTCATGAAAATATTCTTACCATTGCACTCATAAACATTCATTATTTGTATACCATATCAAGGAACGAAAAATAACCGAAACGGGAGAAAAATTACCTATCCGTCCGATCGCTCCATCCCCTGACTCTTCCACAGTCCCTAACATTGCTTACTCGTGCAATGATTCATGGGGATGCGATGAAAATTGAGTATAACGCAAAGGACCATGGGAATGCCCCGAGGTGTATTCAGCGCAAGTTGGGTAATTCAGCGCAAGTTGGGTAAGCGACTGGGGACGAGTCAGCCCCTGCAAGCCGATTTAATTTTGCGTGATCTAAAATGGCTCCCTTCAGAAAGTACGTCACGCCAAAGTGACGCATTTTCTGGGACCTGTGTATTGCCATGTGGTGATTCATCGTTTTGCATTGCGCACTTTTACTGCGCATATCTAATAACAAATTCTAGCTAATATATGTAGTCGAACTGCAATGGTTAGGTGATAAAGAAAGTGAGTAAGGGCAAAGAAAAAAATAGGTATGCAACGCGTACATGAAGATGCCATGAGGCAATTGAAATATTTCATCACTTAATTATAATAAATATAACAGCAAATAAGAATTTAGCAGAGGGCAGCCAGGACAACTGCCCACTGCAACTGCCCCCCCCCCCCCCGCCGACAAGAAAATGTAACTAATTTTATAATGTGATTATGATTGTAACGGATAATTATGCAGTCAAGAAATAAAAATTTCATGCAAACAATATTTGAAGAGGGCCCTGAGGGGTAAAATGGGAACTAGGATTCATCTATTTTTAGACTGGGAAAATGGGATTTGGGTTGCTTGGACTGGGATTTGGCCACTGGGAATGGGAAATGAAGTCCTCAAATTGGGAATGGGATTGAGGTAATGCGAGTCGATTCCCAATTTTTCTGCGTTTTGAGCATTTTAAAATACAATTTTGATCCGTTTTTGGTGTCTTTGGTCATGATTTTTGTTGTTAACTATATTATTCACAGCACTACCTGCGAACATGCATAATCTGGTGCCCGGAATTCTGGGTTTTCTGATTATGCGTGTCTCAGAATGCTACAAATGCCATTTCCGGGATTCAAATTTAAAAATTTTCCGTGCCTTCGGCACGAACACTCTCCCTAATATTTCATAAAGTGTCCGCCACTTGCTTAAAAGGTCTTAAAACTGTTTATTCCAGATTTGTAATAAAAATCCAACTGGGACTGGGATTTTGCCAAAATTTCAGGTGGGAAATGGGATTGCCCCTTCAGGACCCTCTTTGAAGTGTCTATACAGCCAACAGCCGGCTATTTAGTAAATTGTCACTTGCCAAACCATGAATTTTCAAAACTTTATTGTAATCATATGAAGCAAAAATTCTGTCACTTGTTGTTTACACTTGCCAATTAATGTTACCAACTGTTGAGTAACATACACAAACTATTCGAGGAACATGCATTACTGTAGTAAAGAGTCAATCATATATTGAAGACCACTGAATAGTAGAGAAGGTTTTGAAGGTCATGAGTGATGTATATATAAATTCAATTCCAATCCTGTGCACAGTTCATGATATACCACACGTCACTGTTCACTTTAACACAACATACCCACATTTGTGTTGTGGGAGAATATCGGTTTGAGTAAAGGTATCATAAGTTTAGTTTTGTACATTGTGTGCCATTGATCTGATCCATTATATAATATCATTATTGTAGCTGTTAAGTTATTTTTCATACTAATGAGTAATGGCGTAATGCAAGTGGGTTGTTCTGACAAAATTATCTAGCCAATATCCAGCTTTATATTCATCATTCTTGTATTAATCTCTAAACAAAAACATTCATGTTAGAAAGCAAAATGACAATGTAATGAGGAGGAAGGGTGGGGATTCTTTTATTAGCATTTGAAAATGTTTGTAAAAATTTTGTTTAATTTTTAAACTCTAATGTGTAAAACCAAAATGTATAAGTATTTAACTGATAACATCTTAACCTTTGCTCTAACACTACATTAGACAACAGCTTAGCTGGACTGTTGTTTTGAACCAAGGGTGGGTAGTAGCGAAGTAGTTGTAGTTCGCTACTGTAGCGAACTACAATTTTCAAGTAGCCAGTAGTTTTTGACTACTTTTTCAAAACAGTAGCTGTAGTTATAGCGAACTACATTTTGCCTAAAAGTAGCCAAGTAGTTGACTACTTTTCAAACAGCAAATCGCTATTCGCTACTTTTTAAAATTGTTAGCAACTTGATAGAATAGAATGTTATTAGGACACAGTTTGCTTAAAATCAATACTCAATTTGCACGAATAAAGTATGCCGTGCAACTGTTCAAACTGTGCAAGTGCATGCCGTCTTATTTACTCGCGTAAGTCGATTTGTTATAGGTTACATTACAGCCTGAGCTATAGTAGATGTTCCAAATACAGTAAAATTTAAAAATATTGAGTAGCGAAATAGCGAAATAGTTCGCTACATTTTTTAAGCAGTAGCTGTAGTCAGTAGCGAACTACATTTGTTCAAAAGTAGCAGTAGTTGTAGCTGACTACATGTTTTTGAAGTAGCTGTAGTTATAGCGAACTACAAAAAGTTTGTAGTCAACCCACCCTTGTTTTGAACAGAGTTACAGAAATACAGGACCAGGATTTAATTCAATATCTGAGAACATTCTGAGTTTCCTGTGATATTGTTCATTACCATATCTTCAAGTTCGGTGACCCCAACTGTTTTTTTCTGCTTTTACTATGAGCATATCATAAACATCACCCCTGGCAAGTTTCAACAAATTCTCATTTCCAGAACAATTACTGATGAATCACCTTAAATTTGTCTCCAAAACAAACCAGAATGTTTGATCCCAAAGATTTTTATATCCCAGGAAACATCTACATCGTCTATTGCTTTGTATGCTGATGATACTAAATGCTATCGTCCAGTTAGATCACATAAGGATGAACAATATCTTCAAAAAGACCTTGATGGTATTAACAGTTGGTGTGAATTGTGGCGGATGGATCTGAATCAATCGAAATGTGAAGTTCTTTCGGTGACCGGAAATCTGAAGCTAGTGCCGTCGAGCTACCACCTTAAGTACGACACTCTCGTCAAGAGAACCAATGCCCAGAAAGATCTTGAAGTGATCATCACATGCGATTTGAAATGGAACCAGCACGTGTCCATGGTATGTGCCAAAGCAAACAAAATGCTCGGCTTCATTACAAGATCATCAATGGACATTCGCAACGCAATGGTGCGAAGCCAGATGGCATATTGCACACAAATTTGGTCACCACAATCGGTATCACTAATCCTTCAAGTAGAAAACGTCCAGCGTCGCGCCACCAGATACATTTTATCACTGCCATTCTTGTCAGGAGTATCATACAAAGATAGACTTGTCAAAAGTGGTTTACTACCATTAACATACTGGCATGAATTCCTGGATTCCTGGATATGGTCTACCTTTACAAAGCGTTAGTTCTATCTAATGACCATAATATCCATGTAAAGACAACAGATCGGTTGACGAGAGAAAATGATGGAACAGCAAAAATTATATTACAAGTTCCTAGAGTAAACACTTTAACATTTCAGAACAGTTATTACTGCAGATCACCCAGGACTTTTAACTGTTTACCATCACACTTACGGCAGTCAAATCTCTCAATCAGTCAATTTAAATGCGGCCTATTTAAATATTACCAAAAACTTGTTGAAGAGGTCTACGACATTGATGTTCCACAAACGTTTAAAACAGTGTGTGTAAAGTGTCATTTGTGTCGTCCCTTGTCCAGTCTTTCTGTCAAACTGTGTTGTCATTAGTTGCTGTTAACCCAGTGGAAATATCACTTTTTAGTGAGCATGTGAAATTTAAATTAAATTCCTTTTTTCGATCCACAAGACTAGAATTGCTCAGGACCACATTAAATCAAACGTCTCAGTGATTAGCGATTTTGAAGCGATATATCCACTGTGTTAACCTATATTTCAGTATTGCATTAGCAGGTTACCCGTAAAGGAGCAACTAGCTCTGTGGGTTAAACCGGTCATGTGACAAAGATTGTAAAATAAAATAAAATAAATAACATGCGAGCCAAATACCATATATATTCAGGTACTGTAGATATACATGACTCACAAAAATAATTTTAAAATTTATAAGGAATATATATTTAAAACGAATTCATTACCAAAATAACCAAAGACAAGTTCTGGGCTTTTAACAAACGATGTTTAACCCACTTACGTAAAGCTTAATGATTTCCTAAAGAACAAAGGTCTAAAGATATTCCACCAAAATGTAAACGGCTTAGTTAGGAAGATCGAAAAACTGCGGCTAATGCTCCAGGAAACAAGTAAACGTATACATATTTTCGGCATTACTGAATCGCATCTGAACAAAAACATACAAGATAGTGAGGTCGCTATTAGCGGTTATAATTTTATCAGGAAAGATCGAAAGAATGGTTGTGGTGGTGGGGTTGGTTGCTATATTAGAGATGATATTAAGTGGAAAAGGAGATCAGACTTAGAGAAACAATCAGTCGAGGCGTTATGGATCGAAATATTTTTTCAAAATTCCAACTCCATCTTGTTATGTATAATCTATCGTCAAAATACCTCGATGCAAATTTTGAGAATAACTTTGAAGAGATAAATAGCTTAGCAACTGAAGAAAGAAAAGAAACTATTGTCATTGGGGACCTAAACTGCAATTATCTAAACAATGGAGACCACAAATCAATAAAGCGTATCCTCCAACTTCATGGTTTTAAACAAATTATCAAACAACCCACGAGAATTACACCGAGATCAAGATCTTTAATTGATATTATATGCACCACACATGAAAGCAGGATTCCTGAGCACATAGTAATCGCAAATTCCATCAGTGACCATGATCTCACCGGCATAACAAGAAAAATGAATTGTCTTAAATTCAAACCACGAAAGATAAACATAAGATCTAGGGCCAATTATAATGTTAGTCAATTTAAATCTGACTTGCGCAAAATCCCATGGGAAACCCTAATTAATGAAAATGACGTTCAAGCTAGCTGGGACTTATTCAAACAAACCTTGACGACTATAATAAATCGACATGCCCCTTTGATAGAAAAGAAAGTAAAAGGCCGTGATTGCCCTTGGTTAACCCATGAAATAAAAGAGAAAATGAATGAGCGAGATCACTTGTTGAAAAAAGCCAGAAAGAGTGGGAAAGAATGTGACTGGTGTAATTATCGCAAAGCACGAAATAGTGTCACAAAATGTATTCGCCAGCATAAAGCAAATTATAATCGCTCAGTCTTTCGTGAGAACGTTAACAGACCAAAACAGTTCTGGGATCAAATAAAGAAATGCTACCCAACACGAAATAAGGGGGAAACCCCAAACAAGCTGTTTGACGTTGAAGGAAAACTCATATCCGATAGCTATCTGATCGCTTGTGCTTTTTGCAACTTTCTTACTGGAATTGGTACATCCATTCAACAATGCTATGTCACATTAACAGAGAAACATTGGCAATTCCACAGCTATAAAAAATTGCAAGATCTCATAGACCCACATCATTGCGTTTTTAAATTTAAGGAAGTGACTAAAAGGGATATACTGTCTATTATAAAAACGTTGAGATCATCCACAGCCCCAGGATACGATAATATCCCGATATCCTTTATTAAAGACGGTGCCCAAGAATTATCCACCCCACTTGTGCTTTTGATAAACTTATGCTTACGACAGTCAATTTTCCCAGATGTAGAGAAATTGGCAAATGTTACACCAATTTTTAAGTCGGGAGACCGATCATCAATGGATAACTATAGACCAATTTCCGTCTTGCCTGTATTAGCAAAGATTATTGAACGTGTTGTTCACAGACAGCCATCTATCTATCTGGAAGAAAACTGTCTGCTTTCCCCTAACCAATTTGGATTTCGTAAAGGTCGATCGACTCAACAGGCAGTTACCTATTTCTCGGACCATATAAGGGATTGTATGGACAAAGGTGAATACTGTGGCGCTGTCTTTATCGATCTGAAGAAAGCATTCGACACGGTGGATCATGGTCGTTTACTGTCCAAATTATCTCACTACGGTATTAAAGATAAAGAACTAACATGGTTTGAGAACTATTTATTTGGAAGGCGTCAACGTGTAATCTACGATGGCGCACAATCTGACAGCCAACCTGTCGTCTGTGGTGTGCCACAGGGTTCCATCTTAGGACCTATGCTGTTCATCTTATTGATTAATGACATCGATCACCAATAGCTGTAAAATCCTACTATATGCTGACGACACAGTGGTCTTTACATCCAGTAAAAATCAAGAAACCATTAAAGTAAATTTAAACTCGGATCTATCAAAACTGGCCACCTGGTTTTATGAAAACAACCTAGTCGTCAACCTCAAAAAAGGAAAAACCGAATTCATCCTGTACGGTACACCTAACAAATTGTCAAAAGCCGAGAAAATGGATATTATGATTCGAAACGAACCGGTGAACGAAGTACAAGCGTATCAATACCTCGGAGTTAAAATGGATAAATCCTTAACCTATGTTGAGCACAAAGACAAGATATATAAAGAAGCTATGAGAAGAGTTAAACTCCTATCACGCATACGACGTGACATCAGCCCATTGGTTGCGCAGTCAATCTACAAAACGATGATAGAGCCAATCCTTTTATACTGTAATAATCTATTTCTCGGTGACACAGTCAGCTCGATCGAAAAATTCCAGAAAGTACAAGAACGAGCTTTCAAAATTGCTTATGGCAACAACATCCAAAATAATTGGACAAAGTTGGAAAAAATCCGAAACAGATCTTGAGCTTGTGTAATAGAAGTGTTTAAATGTTTAAATGGCTTGGCACCTCAATGCTATGATGGCTACTTCCAAAGGGACTCACATGGAAAAGGCACCCGTGGAGATAACAACAAACTGCTATTGCCAAAAGTTAGAACTGAAACTGCACGGAAACGATTTGCATTCCAAGGAGCAGTTCAATACAACAAACTACCAGACAGTCTAACAAAAGAAACTTCATTACTGAGATTTGGGGAACAATGTAACATTATTTTTAACTGTTAGAAAGTTAGAAACGCTTCGTAAATTAGAGACATCTCACTTTTTATTGAACACTATTCTCAATAACTATTCGAAACATTTTGTAAATATGAAGCTTTAAGCCCCGTTTACACGAGCAAATTTTATATGACAAATTTAATGTGACAAATGCATTTGATCAAAAGCTAGCATGCTAGCTTTTGTTCAAATGCATTTGTCACAATAAATTTGTCACAAATGTATCATCTACACGAGCAAAATATCTTTCACATATGAAATTTGTCACTGTAAAATTTGCTCGTGTAAACGGAGCTTTACACTTTTTATCTATTTAAATTTTATCGTAAACACAGGTCCTTGATTTATAGCAGCTTAATATAGCTGACCAAGTTAACCTGTAAAAATATAGTTAATTATTATTATTACTACAATCGTCTGGCATTAGACAGAGTAAAATAATAAATGCAAATAGTTTACAAATAATTGAAGAACTTGCAAGGCTGAAACTTTCAAATCATCGACATTGTGGTTAAATATAATAGCAAACACTTATGTTGGAAAATTCGATCGCCGAGTTGGTTCGTAGTTGAGAATGCAGTAGCCAGGACTGAGTAGTCTTGAATCTAAACACTTTCTACCGTAATCAGACATGTATTTTTGCTTTTCAAACACCTGGAAAGACACTCGTCCTTCAGCTTGGGAATCACGCTTTGTCCGTTTGTATCGAAATTGCACTCGAAACATATAGGCTACACAAATCAAACTGACATAAATATACTGTACAATTCTAATATTTAAGTTGACTCGTACCCAGTCCCTGAATGAGGATTGAAAAAATAGTGGTGCATCACGTGATAATCAAGGCTCAATTTTCAGCCAATCAGATGGCAATATATTTCAAAAATTGAGCATATATAATAATATAGTACATAATAAAACATTGTATTAAATATTCAATGACATATCATCTGTACAATCCTAGCAAACAAGGCACTTAATAAATCGGCACACCCACTGAAATGTGAATTTAAATGCATTCCACAATATAACTTGTTGTTAACAACTAATAATGTCAAGTTTACGGTTGATCGGCTACTTGCACCAATGAAAACCTCATGCAGTGAAAATGGCCATGTTTGATTAAAACTAAATCTTCCAATATCTGCTATTTCGAAAGGTGATGATTCATCTGTCCTTGAATTGTCATATTTAAGCTGCCATATCAAGTCCAAGTGTTTTTTCTTCCTTATGGATGACTTCAACAGATTTTCACAATCTCTAACAGTTGATCCAAAATATCTACAGTTATTCTGTGGATCAAACAAATAAAGATGAAAACATGAACTGCTATTGCTAAGATACGACTGTGGTAACTCAGCTGTCATTGATGTCCGATAATCTACAACTACTGTAACAGGTTTTCTGTGACATAAAGCCCTCGCACTACCTGAGCGACCAGACATGATGTCAGACCATGCAGTGATAAACAGAGCAATCAGAGAACAGTTTAAATTATGGCAATATTTCAATAGCCTAGATGTATCTTGTTCGGATAGACATTTCATAACTATCAAAGGCTTAATAGCCCGAAACCTACACCTTTTATCTTTCTGATGACTAGATACTGGACCTCGAATGAAGCCTTGAAATTTCATAATAACTTGTTTAAACACTGAAACCAACAACTTTGGAAATGGTGGTCTCAAACATTCCTCTGTTGGTGATGGCAAATGTACAGTTTTTGTGTTTTCCACACGAATATCGCAATTGACCAGCTGACATAACACAGCAACAAAATCTTGTGTAAACTTTACAACTGAGATCCGATCAACAATAACAGGATCAAATAAGAATAGTAAAGTATTAATGTATAATTTTTGTCTGGCTTCATACTGTTCCCGTGTCACAATGGTCTTCCAAAAGAGTTGATCATTTGATCTTTCATTGTTACCTATCAATTCTTCTTCTAGTATCATTTGCCAATTGCTTGTATTTACAAATCTTAATTCTGGAACACTTCTTTCTTCTGTGTTGATAACAAATTGCCTCGTTGACGCATGCGTATTGTGATAACTTGTCACCCTAGCTCGAAGTATAGGATGTTTCCTAGCTAGCAATAGTAGGGTGTTTTTTATATTGTGACGTTTCAGATTTACTACAGACTTCAGTGATAATACAGCATAAACCTTAGTGCCATAAAGTGTGTTTAAATCTGCTAGATAACTTTCATAAAAGCCCATATCTCTGCGTATGTCTTGCGTGTCAACATTCCTGACAGATGAGCTTTGCACATGCTTTCCTTCGTTCTTGGGCACTGCAGAGAAAGATCTGGACACAATACGTAAGATGATGTAGACAGAAAACGAGAAAACAGTTAAACAAGCAAAACTGTTCAACATAGAGTTCATTTCCCATATTTAATACATCAAATATTTTATCAAAATCTACAGAAATTGCCAGAAAAACATCCTGCCACTGTTATTTTAAAAATAACCGGCACAGATCTGTGCAACCGGTCAGCGTTTAAAGACAAACTGACTCAAACTGATACTTCGTGTTACACCATCATTTTATGACCATGGCTTCCAAGTGAAGCCGCGAATATGCGGTTATTTAAAAATTACGTTCAAGTTTCAAACTATGTCAAACTGAGCTTTAAATAAACACCAAACTGCCATACGTCCCTGTATGAGTCTATGTTGATACGATGGACTTCAATGATTTGGATTCTTTAGAATGTTAGGGTGTGTAATCCTGTTAATCCAAGTGAGAATATATACTTTTTAAGACCTAACCAGGAACGACAGCGAAAAATGCAGCACAAGGCCCTCTGGTAGGAATTGAACCTACGGCCCTGCGATTCCGGTGCAGCGCTCTAAACAACTGAACTACAGAGGCCAGCTGTTGAGCTGTAATCGTAAGTTCATGTACATATAGGTAATCGGGTGTGCGAGTACCTTATCACAACCCGCGTTCCTGGTTAGGTCTTAAAATGTATATATTCTCACTTGGATTACAAAATCTAATATGTTGATACGAGACTATGTTAATACGATCACAGCAGGCGTGAATTTCCACAGTTCTATTCGAAGCTCATTTTCCACAAGGCGAATTTGTTCCCCCCACCCTGGCGAAAAAGTAATTCCAGCAACGTGATTGGTTGTTCAGCTAGCAAGAAAAAGTAGGATCTGCATGTTCCTACATCGGCTACTTGCTTTCCTAACCAAACACTTTGCCGAGATTTATGAATGTATGGTTAACTTAGTCCACTCTCAGAACTGGCATAACGGTTAGATTTGCTGGAGCGAATCGACTTTATCGTGTGTACGCAGGGGCGTAGGAACCGGGGGGGGGGCAGGGGGGCCATTGCCCCCCACCCCCAAGTTTTGGCAAGTGTCCTTTTTCCAGGAGCAAAGTGCCCTTTTTGTGCCTGACGAAACTTTTGAAAACTTCAATCTATGTTTTTTTCTGAAAAATGTTTTAGTTTTCGAGAAATAATCATATATTGGTTTGTCCGGAAAATTTTTTTTTATTTAAGAAGAAATATGGTATGTCCGGAAAAATTTTTTACCCCTAAAATGGTACACTGACCGAAATTTTTTTGGCGACGGGGGGGGTCGGCAAAATAAATTGTTCCGGAAAAAAAATTTTCGGAACTTGTCGGGCACAATCCGAAAAAGTCGGGCAAGTTTCTTTCTTCCCCCCCCCCAAATTCTTTCCTTCCCGTACGCCTATGCTACTATATACAGACAGCTATTTTTCTAGAAATAAATTTATGCAAAAGATTCAAGATTAAACGTGTCACAGTTCCATGTTGAAATATTCATCTAAGAAAAATATTTCCACCAGGATTACTGACATTCTTCTTTTCGTTGACAGTAACTCCTGAGTTGCAGGGGTCGTGTACAGGATAGCCTTTTTTTTTAAAGTGCCCCTCAAAGCCTGCCCCCCCCCCCCCAACTTTTCTAAGCTTCCTACGCCCCTGTGTGTACGGTTTTGTACTCATCCAGTTTCGAAAAAGATTAAGATCATGCAGCCTGCAACTCTGCAAACACTGACCAAGGCGATGTGTCGATGGGGTTGGCGATGTGTCACCAGTTATGAGTTATGTTTTTCTCCATTATTCCACGCATCCTTAATATGTGATCTGACTTCTTTAATTTGTTCATAGTCTTCATAAATGAAGTTCTTGTCATTTATTCGAGAACGAGTCACATATTAACATATTCATTAGTATTTTGCGTGGTTTAGATACGAATCGAAAGATTCACTACTGGTGACGGATGGGCGGATCCGACGAACGTTAGTCTAGTTTTAATTCTTGCTTATAGTTTTAGACAAATAGGACCATCACTGGGGGCAACATAGTTTACTGGGGAAGGGATGCTGGCTAAAGGGCGGTCGAGTTCCCAGGATTAAAAAATCTCCTGTGCTCAGGCTGACACACAGTCTAAGCCTATGGCGGTATTTCAGTTTGTCTTCGACCACCTGGCCAATATTCACTCCGTTATTTAATTATTTAACTGAGCATGAATACGGATGTTACTGAGTATTAGATGCTGTATATGCAGGTATAAAATGTAAATATGTTTTAATTTTTTGAAACCGGTTAACCTGTTTTTATGGAGTTTCAACACCTGCTTTACTTTTTTATTCGGTGTAATTAATAGCAATTCCTTTCTTCTGTTGTTGATTGGATATTTCGTTTTTAGGCAAAACAGGCAGGTGATGGAGAACAAATTGAATATTCTGCCCAAACTGCATATATACTGTAGTTCACTCACCTACACTGCAAGAGTTACGTTGTGATGAGAATGAAATTTTGCCAAAGGATGGTTGCTCTCTTCAACTTTGAAATCTTTCTGGTTTTCATTGGTTTTCTCCCCTTTTCTTTGTCCGACAGTGGAGCTCTTTTCCAAAATATTGCAACAAAAAAAGGTAAGCCGTGTGATCAATTGATAAACATCTCCCTGGACAAGCTGACCTTGTTTTTTTTTCTTCTTCAAACCCCATACATGTACAATCACAGGCGCGCAAGTTTTCCTATAGATAAGTTTTCTTCACCAGTTGACTTGTTTTTCAGTCAACAATTCTCCCTTGACAAATGTTATGCCACTACATTTTCTTTTGTTCGTTTTCTTTTCGCTCACATTTTCTTTGACGTCGACAAGTTCCCCTTCAAATAGGCAAGGGTGGGTAGTAGCAAAGTAGTTGTAGTTCGCTACTGTCTGTAGCGAACTACAATTTTCAAGTAGCCAGTAGTTTTTTACTACTTTTTCAAAACAGTATAGCTGTAGTTATAGCGAACTACATTTTGCCTAAAAGTAGCCAAGTAGTTGACTACTTTTCAAACAGAAAATCGCTATTCGCTACTTTTTAAATTTGTTAGCAACTGGATAGAATAGCATGATATTGAGACACGGTTTGCTGAAAATCAATACTCAATTTGCATGAATAAAATATGCCGTGCAAGTGCATGCCATCTTATTTACTCGTAAGTCGATTTGTTATATAGGTTACATTACAGCCTGAGCTAGTAGATGCTCCAAATACAGTAAAATTAAAAAATATTGCGTAGCGAAATAGCGAAATAATTCGCTACGTTTTTTAAGCAGTAGCTGTAGTCAGTAGCGAACTACTGTTGTCCAAAGTAGCAGTAGTTGTAGCTGACTACATATTTTTGAAGTAGCTGTAGTTATAGCGAACTACAAAAAGTTTGTAGTCAACCCACCCTTGCAAATAGGTCTCTGCATGTTTACAACCTAATGCACGTTCTTGTCAACCGTAGTCCGTACACACGAACAACGGAACAAGTGGAATAGGGTTTCCTTCTCCAAAGCCTGGCACGACTAGCTAGTTTTCAGACTTGTCAAGGAACACTTGTCAATTTTTGGTCTTACACACAAGTAAATAGATACTGCTAGTTTTTACGGGGTGGGGTTTTAACAAGCGATTTTCCGGGCGGAAAGCGGGCAGAACATAATGCTTTAAGTAGAGCCATACACTGACGTTTCGTCTTAATTCAAGACATCTTCAGACTAACAGTAAAATAAAATGACAAGTATTATGAATAAATTAAGTTACTATATTATAATAAATTACACAGGAAATGAAAGTGGGGGCGGGAATCAGAATTGAGTTTGGAAAATAAGAGACTTTCGCAAATTAGAGGATCATCAGAGTTGGCGCAAGAAGAACTTTGAAGTCACCAGTGGTTTTGAGGTGCGAAAGGATGCTTGTGAGTGTGGGATTACTGCTCTCATTAATTAAATATATCACAGTAAATATAGCTGTGAAATGAAACAAACTAAGTATTTCAACTAATGAACTCCGACTACCACTCATGTTACTGATCAGATGTAACCTTAAAAAAAATTTGTTTTGTCAGTATTGTAAAATTGTGATATTCCTATCTTATGCAACGTCCTTTTCTATAACATTTTATACTGTATTATGGATTAATGCTGATTGCAGATATAGCTACATATACAAACCAAATGCGCACATCAATATTCAATTCGGCAATAATATTGACCCAGGAATCGATTGACGCTGATCGATGATTGAACAACCTGCTTTGAGAAAAACATGCAGTTACAAATAAATTTTTCATTTTATCAACTGCGAACTCTGTACTCGGTCGATGACGCGCAACGACGAGCGAAGGCCGATACATGCAATTTCGTTTCGCTCGAAACGTTGTTTTGCGGTACTTTTCAGGTAGTTGAGCATCATGCAGAGTTTGCACTTTTCGCATCAGTATTTTAAATGCAAAAATGTTTCAATTTTTTAAAACAGATTGACCTATTTCCATTTTATGGAGTTTCAACACCTGCTTTACTTTATTATTCGGTGTAATTAATAGCAATTCATTATTTCTGTCGTTGATTGGATATTGCGTTGTTAGACGAAATTAAACAGGCAGGTGATGGAGAACAAATTGAATATTCTGCACAAACTGCATATATAGTGTAGAGTATAGTTCACCTACACAGCAAGTCTTAGAGTTACGTTGTAATGAGAATGAAATTTTTGCAAAGGATGGTTCCTTTCATCAGCTTTGAAATCTTTTTGGTTTTCATTGGTTTTCTCCCCTTTTCTTTGTCCGAAAGTGGAGTACTTTTCCAAAATATTGCAACAAAAAAAGGTAAGCCGTGCGATCAATTGATAAACATCGGCCTGGACAAGCTGACCTTGTTTTTTTCTTCTTCAAACCCCATACAGTCACAGGCGAGCTAGTTTTCCTAGATTTTCAGTCAACAATTTTTCCTTGACAAATGTTATGACACTACATTTTCTTTTGCTCGTTTTCTTTTCGCTCACATTTTCTTTGACGTCGACAAGTTCCCCTTCAAATAGGTTTCCGTACAACCTAATGCACGTTCTTGTCAACCGTAGTCCCTACACACGAACAACGGAACAAGTGGAATAGGGTTTCCTTCTCCAAAACCTGGCACGACTAGCTATAGTTTTTAAACAATCAGACTTTTTTGGTCTTACATGCACGCAAGTAAATAGATACTAGTTTGTACGGGGTGGGGTTTTAACGAGTGATTTTCTGGGCGGGAAACGTAATCTTATGATAGAAGTAAGAACCCGACATAATGCTTGAAAAGTAGAGCCTGCATAAACACAAATATATATAAAAAGGCTTTAATAATAAAAATGACGTTTCGTCTTAACTCAAGACAGTGAAATTATAATGACAAGGATTATGGATAAATTAAGTTACTATGTTACAAGGTAATAATTTACTGACACACACACACAAAAACATCAAAATGAAAGAGAAAGCGGGAATCAGAGTAGGAAGGCAGGAATTAAATTAAACTGCCTTGCTTGTTTAAGGAAGGTTTGAGTTAAGGGGGGAAATTAAGAGACTTTCGCAAATCAGAGGATCATCAGAGTTGGCGCACGAAGAACTTTGAAGTCATTAATAGAAGCTGCGTGGCCAGTGGTTTTGAGGTGCGAAGGATGCTTGTGCTGGTTGGAATTACTGCTCTCATTAAATATATCACAGAAATATAGCTGTGAAATGAAACAAACTAAGTGCGCATTTCAACTAATGATCTCCGACTACGCGACTGATCATATTTTTAATTTTATTAACTGCGAACTCTGTACTCGGTGGATAACGCGCAACGACGAGCGAAGGTATTTCGTCTGCAAGTATAATTTGTTAGTTGACTACTACATGCAACTTCGAATCTCTTTGACTTTGCTCGAAACCTCGTTTTTGCGGTATTTTTCACGTAGCTGAGCTTCAAATATGATTCATATGCATACATATTTATGATACAAGAACTAGAAGCAAACGAACTAGAGCAATAGAAGCAAACATTTCTTGGCCTTGCATGGGTCGAGGACGGGTCATGAAACTTAGTATATGTGTTATAAACTCACTGATAAGGTTTGGCGCGGGGTTACATGCAGGTTACTGAAAAATACATCAGGTGCTCCCTAAACAACAATCGCCACTTTATTTAGGATTCAGGTTGCCAAATGAATATGTGTTGAAAACTGTATCTGCGACATCTGTGGTAGACTGTGGCTTCCAGTGTTTAGGTGAAGAATGCTGTGCATCAATCACGTATCACGCATCATCGGAAATATACCAGAAAAATTGTCACTTAAATAACGTTCTTTCTTTAAACTATTCTGGCTCTTTGCTACGGGATGAACATGCTAATTATTATGAACTTGTTGATGTATACAAGGTAAGTACGGTACGTGAAATATACCCCTTCCGTCGCCATATGGCATATTACGCCGCCATATCCAGCATATAAACCTTCCATTTTAAGCATAGATATCTTATATACACTAGATAGTGCATCTAATTATTCTGCAATTCAAAATTGAAGCTGTGATTGCAGTCTCAGGTCGTTCCCATGAAATGAGGAGATTCGTATGCTTTCTATTTCTTAAATAGGGAACTTAAACATTAAGTTAACCCTATTCCAAATACGTTTTTAAACTATTCAAATGATTAAAGTTATTGTCGTTTTTAAGCGTTTATTAGCAAGTGGGAACGACCAACATGGCCGCCATCTATTCAAATGGGGGTAACCGCTGGAATATTCTTGGCTTCAATTTTACTAAAAGAGATGCGCTATCTAGTGAATATAAGATATCTGTGATTTTAAGCTACACATTTGGGGGACAGTTTCTTGATACAATCACACAAAACCCGAAATAAGCGAATTTCGAAATGCACCAGCATAAATATTTTTTCAATAAATTCCAGGACTTTCATCAATGCACCAGCCTTGTACACATGCAGGCGCTTTAGAGAAAAAATATATAATCGCGCTAAGCTACTATATAGCCACTGATCTCTATATAGTAGTTTAGCGCAATCATATATTTTTTCTCTAAAGCGCCTGGGTACGAGGCTATTCTGGTACTACAATTGTGGCAAAAATTATTTTGGACAGTGCATGCGCAAATGAAAATACATGTTTTGAATCTACAAGAAAATGAAAATACATGTTTTAAATCTATGATGAATATATATATATATATATATATATATATATATATATATATATATATATATATATATATATATATATATATATATATATATATATATATATATGCACTGTGATGTATATCATCATACAGACACATTGATAACCTGACCTTCGCCACATCCGCCACTCTAACCCCTCACCCTAATGGCGGGGCGAAACGAAAATCTCCCCGCCCCGGCGCGTGATTGTGGTGCAAACTTAATTTAAAATGAAAACGTGTCTTGTGAATTCTTGCAAATTGCAACATCTTGCGAATTCTTTTCAAAATCAACATTGCATGGGGGTACGTGGGAGTTCCAAACATGCCAGCATGCGTGTGCATATGAACATTCATAGTTTAGTTTTCAGCTAATTGTCCACATAATATTTGCCATGATTTCAGGTACGAGGTTATTTTTCTTACCACGCCATAAGAACGACATATATAACTGTTTGCATAATATATAGACTTTGAACCGTTGCTGCTACATAAAATGTCAAAATGAAGGACACTGGGATGAAATGACTGGGAAATGTTTGTGTCCGCCGCGCTATGCAGGAAGTTTGTCTGGAATATGTAAGTTTTTACCTCTAAATACTTATTATTATGCATTTTAAATTAAGCATGGACCTTTCTCATAATGACGTCAAATTGAGTAAATTGCAAGGTTTCCAGTAGAAGCGTCGGTTTGTCGCTGTATATGAAGGCTGCTCGCAATGGCCCTGAACACAACGCCATCTAACCAAAAGCTAAATTGATTTTGGAACAAATAGGCTAGGTCTGCATGCACGAGGTCTCTTAACAACATAATCGTAGTGCACCCAGCCCCCCCCCCCCCCCCCCCCCGCCCATTAAATAACATTGCTCTCTGTCAGAAATTACTAATATGACCTTAAGTCAGTTGAGCATCTAACCATTAACCTCTCTCTCTCCCCCATTCATGACGGAGCAAGTGAATAGAGCAATGCTTGGATTTTAGGTTTCGTTATATTTTTAGCTATTCGTGTTTTGAAATTAAACACTGAATAACGAGTCAAGTTTATTAAATCCACTTAAATACCTCAGTCGGAGTAAATGCCAATACGACCTTACCATTTCGGGTTTATTGTGATATGGATACATACGGAGGGGGTTGGATACTAGTTTATTCTTACACATTTACACATGATGATGACTTCTGCGAAGATAGCAATACCGTAACCTTCCGTCTAGCTTGTAATTGTACGCAAGCTATATATAATGCGTGGGAACCGGGGGAGCACGGGGGGCACGTGCCCCCCCCCCCCAATTTTTTCAAAGGACTAAAAGTGCCCTTTTTTGTGATGAAAAGTGCCCTTTTTGTACAAGCTAATGTCGTTGTAAATACTAAATTAACATCAAAGGTGCCCTTTTTGTTTGGAAATTCCCATGTTTTTAGAAAAAATTGGGTCAAAAACGTGCAATTTCGGTATGGTATGACAGTAAAATTCCCCTCCCCCGTCGCTAACATTTGCGGGGAAAATTTTTTAGGTGCCCTTTTCAATATCCTAAAGTGCCCCTGGAAGCCGGTGCCCCCCCCAATCTTTCGATGCTTCCTACACCCCTGCCTGTACATATTGTTTTGACCTTGTTATTTGTTACCGCCATATGAAAGATTTATAGTTTTACTATAAAGGTACGTTTATACACAAGGATTAATCGGGCCGATTCAGCTTTAATTGATTTAAACAATATTTGAAAAATACGCTGTCTGACGACATCGTCAACTGACAACATTCGTCATTAACATTCGGCAAAACCTGAAATCGCCCCGATTAATCGTAGTGTGTAAACGTACAATCAGTTTCAAATGTCTTTGGACAAATCCCACAAAACCTTTCATTTCAACAAACGTCAATCTCCCAAGCCCTATTTATGTTCAATGTTGTGTGCCATTTCTCGTCAGATTTGACGTGTTTTGGTTTTTAAATTGCGAAAGCAACATTGATTGGGAAGGGGGAGGGGGAGAGCGGTGGTATTGTATGTAATAAACTGTAATGATCCAGTTACAATCTAAAACTACATGTGTCCTTTTGAAAGTGATTGTAGCTTAAAGCAACGTGTTTATCCCGCCAAACAATTCCTACTAATTCTGTATATTTTTAGACCCACGATCGTGCTTGGAAATCAAAACTCTGAATAACAAGTCAAGCTCAGGAGTATATTGGATACAATTAAACACATCAGACGGAGTGAATGCCAATACAACCTTACCATTTCAAGTGTATTGTGATATGGATACAAACGGAGGGGGTTGGACACTAGTTTATTCTTACACATTTACAAATTATGATGACTTCTTCGAATACAGCAATGCCGTAACCCCCCGGCCAGCATGGTCTGCTCCAGATGCTGATGTTGAGATCTCTAATGTTGCTCCGTTGAATGAAACAGCATTAGGAGCCATGGGTTTTGAACTCTGGCAAAATATTGGAGAGGAATTCTTAATCAAGTCAAATATTAACGACTGGATTGTTTGTGAACCGGATGGTGGAAGCTTAGTCCGTGAAGTCGATGGATCTCTATCGTGCATAAATATCAAGAATGTCGCGACGGCATGTGAAGGAGTTGAACCATATCGTATTTCCTGGCAAAGTACTTGTGGACCACGCATATATGCATCCACCTCATTTTATCGATTTGATGGATCAAAGGAGAATTGCTATCCTTCACACGACCCGTGTAACTCAGGATATACTGACAACCACAAAAAAAACGTCCTTAACCCTGGTGGAAAAATATTTCTTAGATAAATACGCCACAATGTAAAAGTTAAACAGAAAGAAGAACACGACAAATAGCTTACTGGTTTCACAACTTTAGAAAAATAACTGTCTATACTGTAATGGTAACAGGACTGAACATTTAATAAAGTTTCTAATATCTCAACATCAACATCAACTTATAAAACATATATATACATATATATACCGGGTGGCCCAAAAAAAAGTACTCCTGTTTGATTCGTAATAACTTCTAAACAAGTAAAGTTTTTAAAGAGAAATAACTTGCATTAAATAGAGGAAGGACTAACTTAGATTTTGATATATTACAGTTGTATTTAACTTAAAAATTCACGGATATATTAATGTTAAAAATGGGGAGCATATTTTGGAATGTGTCTAAAATTAGCGAAAATCGGCATATCAAATATTAACTCCAGCGTTTGTTTGCTTAATGACATATTAGGCTAACTTGTATTTCAGCGAATTATCGTTAAGGTTTGTAAGGGATATGGCGTAGATTTAGACATCTTACATGTAAGTCTTAGCTCATTGTTTCCTGAAATATGAACGTTGAATTATGCAAGTATTTAATATTAGGTCTTTGCAAACTTAAATCTACATGAAAGACTGACCATGGAAGGCAGGCGCTTAAATTTTTCGTATTCTTAAATAGCCTAATTTTTTTATGTTTTTAATGGGTTCAAACAGACTGAGTAGATTATTTCTCGGTTAGAGCAGGATGAATATTCTTTATTGAAGGAAATAATATTGCTTTTTGCAAATACACATCACCGTATCAACGCTACTATTTTGTTACGTTTTGTTCCAAAAATGTTGCATGTCTCTGGGGAGTTGCTTAATTGTTATGTCTTATGGAGTTGTATGGTTTGATTGTGTTTCATATAATTCTCAGTTTACTCCATGAACTTGCCAAGATTAAGAACCGGCAAAAGAGTTTGGGTGTTCTTAACAAGATTTCAGAACGTTGCAGAAGTTAGAAGAGCTTCACAATTCCGTTGTGACAGCATGCCCTAATTCAGAACTACGAACGATCCAATGACGATCCTTCGCGATACAGTGGTCTCATGAAATAAGGAAACGTATTCGTGCTAGGAACACACGCGAATTTCGGACGAATGAATCTTGCTTGTATTTTGTAGATATAATAATACTTTGTTTCATAATAAACAATTTATCAAGTGTCATTTATTTACTGGTAATAGTGCATGTTTCAGTCGGGCAAATCTTGATTAATATTTGATACGCCGATTTTTGCATATTTCAGACACATCAAGAAATATCCTCCCGAATTTAAAGATTAATATCTCCGTGAATTTTTAAGTGAAATACAACTGTAATATATCAAAGTCTAAGTTAGTCCTTCCTCTATTTGATGCAAGTTATTTCTCTTTAAAAGCTATACTTGTTTAGATGTTATATATATATATATATATATATATATATATATATATATATATATATATATATATATATATATACTGTTAGGGCGATCAGTGGATAACATCAGCCTAGACCTAGGCCTTCTAGTCTTATTTATATATTTTTAATATTCAGCGCTTTTTCACATGAAAAGACTGGGACTAGGTGATTTGGGGGCGGGGCGGAGGAAGCAAGCCTAGAAGGCCTAGTGGATTTCCCAACAACAAGGCCAAAACTGCCCTGAAACTGCCCTGGTTACGAAATGCCCAATTATTGCGTTCTCAAACAGAATTATTTGCAACTTAACGGCGAATTTAAACCGATACAGGTAAAATAAACTCATTTATAGTATAAACTTACTTTTCTTATTTGTATACACGTCTAGAAAATCGGGGTTTTTATCACAAAGTTCGAAGCAACACTATTATTTAATATGTTGACAAGGTGTAGCGAAACCACAAAATGAGTCAAAATATATACCAAAAGTAGAATCTTTCATGAAATTTTGTCTTATACACAACTACATTAATATATATTTTCTCAATTTTGGCAAGAAGCAGTCTTGTGTTTGTAAAATATACAAACACATATACAATTTTGGCCTACTTGTTGTTGGGAAATCCACTAGGCCTTCTATTTTTTCGCTTGCGTCAGGCTTGTGTCCTTCCTCCGCCCCGCCCCCAAATCGCCTAGTCCCAGTCTTTTCATGTGAAAAAGCGCTGAATATTAAAAAAATATAAATAAAAATAGAAGGCCTAGGTCTAGGCTGGTATGTATGCATTTGTCCTTTATCTCCTTGTCACAAAATTGAAGTCAAACGTCAAAAGAAAACCAAAGGCATGCTTCTGTGTTTCACGACACTGAATACTGATATGATGTTTCATTGTATAGTGATGATATCCAATCAAATCACGTCAATGACTCCATCAAAGCCAACGGAAAAGAGGCCAAGGTAAGAGGTTTGAATAAAACGCGGATGCGGACACGTCAATTGCGTACAAACGGACTGAAGGATAGATGACGGACGGACGAACCGATGTTGTCATGAAAACCTGATATTGGTCGAAATGATGAAATTGGTTTAACAGAGCCGTCTTAAAGTCTTTCCCTGCATGCATTAATCTCAAATTAATCTTAAATCAATTGTAATAGATTTAAGTAATAGATGTACCAGCTTATAAAGTTCAGTGCGTTAAAAACTTAGTGAGGAGTTGTTTACATAATATTTTTAACATTACAGGATTCTAATGGAACTGGATCTGTTGGTAGCTTGGCTTTGATGGGGGTGAGTATTTGTTTTTCTGACTTTGTATCGCTCGTACGTATATATTAAGAGGAGAATCTTTTGTATGTTACGTAACACGCGCTCAAAACTAATCAATATACTTTTCCACTTCGTTATGATTATATATATCTTGATATGTTTTTCAAGCGGCAAACAAACTACAAAAGTATGTTTAGTGCTTTATCTGTAAAATAATGCTAAAATGAAGAGATTTTAGATGGTACGCCAAAGAGAAAATGATGTCTGAAGTTCAGCAAGTTTTGCTTATATTGCTGTATAAATATGGCGTCAATTTTCCAGCATGAATGATAATACACCCTTTCGATAATTACGTCACACGTACTTTTTGGCCTTGGAGCCTCGCTCTCATTGGTAAATTGCGCAAGGTGATTGGGTCACAAGAGCGAGGCTCCCAAGCCAAATGACGTAATTGTCGAAAGGGTGTATTGTATTTAAATTGACAATATTCAACTATTATTTTGTGTTTCTCAATCGCCAGATACATTTAAAAAGGTGTGTAAACTACAAAATAAAGCTGAAGCAAAGTAATTTTGAAGGGAAATTTTGTATTGGTAGCCGTTGCCGTCCTAAAATCGTAAGGTCTCTATTGTGTCCGTAGGTATACTTGTGTAATTTTGTATGTTTATTGTTGCTATTGTAGTATCAGACTGCGGATGATGATGTCATATACAAAGAAGGTTTACTTTATCGAAAGTTAGTCGAAGATACTGGTGGCAAGAAAGGTATGCAGCATCTCTCTGTCTTCTGCTACACGCGTAATAAGGTGATAAGGTCTGCTTAATAAGGTCTGCTACACGCGTAATAAGGTTTACTTTATCGAAAGTTAGTCGAAGATACTGGTGGCAAGAAAGGTATGCAGCATCTCTCTGTCTTCTGCTACACGCGTAATAAAAACGCGCAAGTTGGTACAGATCTGCAAACAAGTCCCACCGTGGTCAGGCAAACTTTTCAGCTTGCCCGGTGTGGATGCACACTCAGAGTAGCATCACAAACATCATATTCACTTGAATACATAACACCAACATACACAAATAAGGTTGTTATCAAGCCAAATTTAGGATGTGTTCGCACTGCCTGTTCTCTGTTGTTGTGACTAGTCTGGAACAAGTTGTTATCACCTTGTCACAAGGTTGATGACGGTAACAGACTTGCTACATGTTGTTCCAACAAGACTAACACAGGCTGTTCGTAATAAGTTTCTACGAGCTTGTTGTCATCAACTTGTTAACAACGTGTTTTCGTGCAGACGATATCAGACTGTTGGAACAACTTGTTGCGAGTCTGTTGGCCTCATCAATCTTGTTACAAGATGATAACAACTTGTTCCAGACTTGTCAACAACTGCGAACACATTTTGTTGGCAAGCTGTGAGACATTTACGTGTGCAGTTACCATTAAACGTAAACTTAAACTAAAATAAACTACCTGTATACCCATTGTTCGTCAAGAATGTTTTGTTCTTATAATTTTATTAGCATCGGCTTGGAAACGAAGTTGGCAGCCATTCTTCGCCACCTTACGTGGAATGATTATGTACTTACATAAGGTATTTCTAGAATGATTTGTTTTGCCATGTTAGGATTTTGAGAATATAGAGATTCCTCATAATGTCGTGTGAAGATTCGTTCCTGTTTCACTTCACCAAACACAGCACTTTTTCTACCTGCTCTGATTTGTTGTTGCACTGTACTGGATCAATAAGAGATGATTCTTACTGGACCTCTAGGAAGAACAGTTTAGAACTGATAGAGCTATCCGGTATAAATAAAGTTAGTTTAGTTTAGGTTTCCTCTTGTAGAAACACTGGATCAATAAGAGATGATCATTACTGGACCTCTAGGAAGAACAGTTTAGAACTGATAGAGCTATCCAGTATAAATAAAGTTAGATTAGTTTTGGTTTCCTCCTGTAGTAACACTGGATCAACAAGAGATCATCCTTCCTGGACCTCTAGGAAGACCATTTTAGAACCAATAGATCTCATTTCTCCAGTTTTAAATAAGTTTGGTTTAGTTCAATTTAAGCCAATATGGGTAATTTGATAGGCCAACATGCTAAATTTAAAATGGCTAAACAACGTTGTTTCTATTACAGCCAGATGAGTCTCGCAACTTCGACGACACACGGTTTTCTCTTGGTGTTCATCATGCGTTTGCCAGTCCAGCTTTTGATTACAAGAAGAAATCTTTTGTGTTCAGATTTATTACCGCCGACTGGAAGGTTTTGCTCTTTCAAGCCAGGTATGTAGACAATGGTTTGTAAAGACTTTCACCCTGGCACAATAGCTCAAAAGTAGGGTGCTTGATACAAAACAACCAAGGTGTTTTTCTCATTTCTGATGCTACTTTGAGCGTTTCCACGCGAGAGAACAGGAAGACGAAAACAGACTTTTAATGTGGTTAGGTGTGAAACTGAAAAGGGAAGGACTTCCTTTCGGTATAGAGTTCCTATGCATGGATCCAACTCGATAATGATACTAAGGCTATAGTAATAAGAACAGATTTAAAGCTAAACTTAGAAACAGTGCAAACTTTATGAATGAATGACCTGGAAGATATTAGTTAGTCGTGATCAAAGAGTGTGAGCTAGGTGAGTCAGGAGTATGGGCAGTAGCAGTCAGGTGGAAGGAAGTCTTGTGTAGGTATGATTTAAAGGTGGATAGAGTGTCGTAGCAGTTGGAAGGAGCAGATTTACATATACATAGTTTCACAGTTTTACAATACTAACGAAGTAAGAACTTTGAAAAGTATTTGGTTTACAAGCATGCGTTCTTAAAAGGCCAGAGGTGCCCACGCAATCCCTTCTGTTCTCTGTCGTTCTGTTATGCTGGTCCGATTGCATCATATTTGAAAACACTGATGATTTTGTTTAGGGATAAAGCTGATATGAATGGTTGGGTTGAAGGATTAAATCTCGTCGCAGCCTCATTTTCATCACCGCCACTCCCTGCTCCTGTTGGATCTCAGTAAGTATACCAGTTCACAGAGCTTACATAAGGCGCATGCGCTCAGTGCAGAAGTCATGGAACAGGAACGTACTTTAATAAGTTAAAAGTAAGGATTAAATTAGTAAAAATACTTTGTGAAGTCCGTGTATTATATAGTATACATACGTGGCTTCACCCAATCATAGGCCTTTACCATAGGAGTTATCGTTTCAGTTTACTTATATTTCGATGTTGTAGGCGAACACTCTGTGAGATTAATGGGTGACCATTAACGCAAAACTCATTAGATTTATTCTTTGTTTCCAGTAAAAGATTCCAGAAACCAGTTCTTCCATTTTCAAGAACCAGACTAACGTTGGTACGTGATGTTACAGTAACCCTTTGTATTCATACTGCTGGCATACATGATGTATAGATAAACATACAGGGTGTCCCGAGAAAAGTATACCTTCTGATACCAAGCCTTTGTTGGAATTTGAATGCCTTATTAGCATGCTAAACCTACGGGTGCGTAAACAGAATAGAAAAATAGGCCAAAAGAAAATATGTGGGTTTCCGGTTTCCCGACCCTACCTAGCTTTTGGACGTCGAAATCCCGACCCTAAACTTTTTTATTGGATCATGCTTGTAAGTGTTTCCACTTAGAGGAAAAAGTTTGTGGAAAATTGAAATTTGAGGCAATATTAGGGAAATGTATCTTTGGATGTGGAAGCACTGACTAAACAAAATGGCGTCCGCTTATTCGAAAAAATAAAAAAAAGTTAAAAAAAAAAAGTTAAAACCGACCTACCCTACCTAAGTTTTTATAAGAAGAAACCGGAAACCCACATATATTTTTTTTGGCCTTATCACTGATTAGTAATTTGACAATTTTTTATGCAGTTACGCCCCTTCATACGATTGGAAGCTATTTTAAATTGGCACGAGTAGAAAATCTTGCACTTAACAAGAATATAGTTAAGGTCTCGTCTTTTAATACACCCTGTATTTTACGCCTCCATGGGGTCCAGCATAATGCTCATCAGGCATTCAAATTATTACAATAGGAACATGGCAGTTCCTATATATTACAACAAAATAAAATCAAAATCAAATCAAATTTCCCACAC